ACTCTACTCAGAAGCTTCTAGACATCATCAATAGCTATAGCAAGGTAGCAGGATATAAAATCAACATAGAAAAATCATTAGCATTTCTATACACTAACAATGAGCAAACGAAAAAGAATGTATGAAAACAATTCCATTTACAATAGCCTCAAAAAAAATCAAATACCTAGGTGTAAACCTAACAAAAGATGTGAAAGACCTCTACAAGGAAAACTATAACTTCTGAAGAAAGAGATTGAGGAAGACTATAGAAAGTGGAGAGATCTCCCATGCTCATGGATTGGTAGAATCAACATAGTAAAAATGTCGATACTCCCAAAAGTAATCTACATGTTTAATGCAATTCCCATCAAAATTCCAATGACATTCATTAAAGAGATTGAAAAATCTACTGTTAAATTTATATGGAAACACAAGAGGCCACGAATAGCCAAGGCAATACTCAGTCAAAAGAACAATGCAGGAGGTATCACAATACCTGACTTCAAACTATATTACAAAGCAATAACAATAAAAACAGCATGGTACTGGCACAAAAACAGACATGAAGACCAGTGGAACAGAATAGAGGACCCAGATATGAAGCCACACAACTATAACAACTTATCTTTGACAAAGGAGCTAAAAATATACGATGGAGAAATAGCAGCCTCTTCAACAAAAACTGCTGGGAAAACTGGTTAGCAGTCTGCAAAAAACTGAAACTAGATCCATGTATATCACCCTATACCAAGATTAACTCAAAATGGATCAAGGATCTTAATATCAGACCCCAAACTCTAAGTTGATACAGAAAGAGTAGGAAATACTCTGGAGTTAGTAGGTATAGGTAAGAACTTTCTCAATGAAACCCCAGCAGCACAGCAACTAAGAGATAGCATAGATAAATGGGACCTCATAAAACTAAAAAGCTTCTGTTCATCAAAAGAAATGGTCTCTAAACTGAAGAGAACACCCACAGAGTGGGAGAAAATATTTGCCAGCTACACATCAGACAAAGGACTGATAACCAGAATATACAGGGAACTTAAAAAACTAAATTCTCCCAAAACTAATGAACCAATAAAGAAATGGGCAGTGAACTAAACAGAACTTTCTCAAAAGAAGAAATTCAAATGGCCAAAAAACACATGAAAAAATGCTCACCATCTCTAGCAATAAAGGAAATGCAAATTAAAACCACACTAAGATTCCACCTCACCCCTGTTAGAATAGCCATCATCAGCAACACCACCAACAACAGGTGTTGGCGAGGATGCGGGGAAAAAGGAACCCTCTTACACTGTTGGTGGGAATGTAAACTAGTACAACCACTCTGGAAAAAAATTTGGAGGCTACTTAAAAAGCTGGACATCGATCTACCATTTGATCCAGCAATACCTCTCTTGGGGATATACCCAAAAGACTGTTACTCCAGAGGCACCTGCACACCCATGTTTATTGCGGCACTATTCACAATAGCCAAGTTATGGAAACAGCCAAGATGCCCCACACTGACGAATGGATTAAGAAAATGTGGTATCTATACACAATGGAATTTTATGCAGCCATGAAGAAGAACGAAATGTTATCATTCGCTGGTAAATGGATGGAATTGGAGAACATCATTCTGAGTGAGGTTAGCCTGGCCCAAAAGACCAAAAATCGTATGTTCTCCCTCATATGTGGACATTAGATCAAGGGCAAACACAACAAGGGGATTGGACTATGAGCACATGATAAAAGCGAGAGCACACAAGGGAGGGGTGAGGATAGGTAAGACACCTAAAAAACTAGCTAGCATTTGTTGCCCTTAACGCAGAGAAACTAAAGCAGATACCTTAAAGCAACTGAGGCCAATAGGAAAAGGGGAACAGGTACTAGAGAAAAGGTTAGATCAAAAAGAATTAACCTAGAAGGTAACACCCACGCACAGGAAATCAATGTGAGTCAATGCCCTGTATAGCTATCCTTATCTCAACCAGCAAAAACCCTTGTTCCTTCCTATTATTGCTTATACTCTCTCTACAACAAAATTAGAAATAAGGGCAAAATAGTTTCTGCTGGGTATGGGGGGGGAGCGGGAGGGGGTGGAGTGGGTGGTAAGGGAGGGGGTGGGGGCAGGGGGGAGAAATGAACCAAGCCTTGTATGCACATATGAATAATAAAAGAAAAAAAAAAAAAACCAAAAAACAAAAAGGAATAAAGCTACTGATACATTTAATAACCTGAGTGACGAAAGTAAAAAAAAATTTCTAGAAAATGCAAACTAATAAACACTAATAATCAGGAGAGGAGATGTTGGGAAATGAATCTATTCATTCATCTTTGAGGTCTTAATATAGCGGTTTTTTCTTTTTATTTTTTGTGGTACTGGGGTTTGAACTCAGGGCCTACTCCTTGAGACACTCCACCAGCCCTTTTCTGTGATGTGTTTTTTTCTAGATAGGGTCTCACAAACTATTTGTGGGGCTGGCTTTGAACTACAATCCTCCTAATCTCTGCCTCCTGAGCAGCTAGGATTACAGGCATGAGCCACTGGCACCTGGCTCCATGTTCTGATTCTTGATCCAATGGTAAATACACAGGTATACTTTGTTTTCTTCTTTAAAATACATACATTTTGCATGTATGCCTTATTCGACAATAAAAACCCTACAGAGAGTGGGGCTGGAAGTCAGGTGGTAGAATGGAAAGGCAGGCCAGGCACTGGTGGCTCCCACCTGTGATTACCTGGGAAGCTGAGATCAGGAGGACTGTGGTTCAAGGTCAGCCTGGGCAAACAGTTCAAGAGACTCCATCTCTAAAATAACGAGGCCAAAATGGACTGGAGGTGTGGCTCAAGCAGTAGAGTGCCTGCTTTGCAAGAACAAAACCCTGAGTTCAATAAATCCCAGTCCCACCAAAAAAAAGAAAGAAAAAAAAGAAGTAAAGGCAAAAGGCAAGATGAGAAAGCAGAGGAAGCAGGTGAAGACAACTCTTCTAGCAGTTTTACTCTGAAGAAGAGGAGAGGGCAAAAGCTGGAAGAAGATAGAAGATGTGAGGCCAACAGGAGACCTTTGGAGGCCGATTATTTGAAAGCATGTCTCTCTGCTGATGAGGGGAGGGCTCAGGAGAGGCAGAGTGCACAGCTCCAGAGGAAGGTAATGAATCTAGCATGCCTGCCCTCCCAAGGCAGTTAGAGGGGAAAAGAGAAAATAGTGAGGCTGCAAGTGGGTTTTAGGCTTGGGACTGAGAATAGGCTAGTGTTGTGTTTGGTGGCCTCTATCTTTTCAATGACATAGGAAGGAGGTCATCAGCTGTGAACCAGAAGAAGAAGGCAGGGATGAAGAGCACCCACCAGAACAGCCAAGCAATGCTGAGAACTCTTTTGTTCTTTATGATGGAACTCAGTGCTAAATGAATCAGCTTGGTGGGTGGGGTGGCTCTCTCCAGCCATGTTTGTCCTATCTGGCTACAGGTACAGAGAAGGTGGTGGTGTTCATTCATAGAAGGGGGGGGTTTCTGCAGGGCTTTGCAACAGAACTTTCTGCAATGATGGAAATGTTTTGTATAATCTGTGTTGTCAAATACTGTAGACAACAGCCACATGTGGCTAGTGAGTCTTTAAGATGTGGCTGGTGAAACTGAGGAAATAAATTTGTAGCTTTATTTAATTGCTATCAATTTAAATGTAAATAGTACATCCAGCAAATTTGCAGGACTCAAAACCAACACACAAAATTCAGCTGCATTTCTATATGCTAGCAATGAGCAATCTGAAAAGAAAATTAAGAAAACAATTCCACCTTCAAGAACATCAAAAATAACAAAATACCTAGGAATAAGTTTAACCCAGGGGGTAAAAGATTTATACACTGGAAATTACAAACCACTATTGAAAAAAATTGAAGAAGACGTAAATAACAGTAGGACATCTGGTTCTCATGGGTTGTTAAGAGGCCACCACCCCCCTCCAGATGATCTACAGAGTCAGTGCAGCCTCCATCAAAGTTCTAAAGGCGTTTTTGCAGCAATAGAGAAAGTCATTCTACGTAGCCACATATGGCTGGCTGCTGTATTAGTTAAAGAAGGACATTTTTCAGGAGAGCAGGAAGACTATTGGGGAAAATGCTGAGAAGCTGAGCACAAGGCTGCATAATTCTAATTATCCAGTCTTCTGGGTTTTTGAACCTGCAAACCAGGTAGGTACTCATCTCAGTGCTTGGCACAGAGCAGGTCCTCAGTACATTAATGCAAGGAAGAATACAACATCATACAACAACAGAGAGCAGTGAAAGGGGGAACCAAGAAGCCTGATGTAAACATTCGGGGTGCCCTTGTCAAGTCAGCTCACATTAACTGAAAATAGTAAGTTCTCCATATGCCTCACGACTTTATTACCAGGTTAGAAGCAGGTAAGAGCATGCGTCTGGAATAAGAAAGGCTGCTAGTTGGGTGACTGTATGCAGATTATTTAATAATTAATGTTAGTAGTCCACAGACATTAGTATCTCCTACTAGCATATTTGCATGGATTATGTGAGATAATCTAAGTAAAGAATTTAGCAGAACCTGGCACAAAATAAGTGCTTGAAACACAGTAGCAATAATTAGCAAAGATAAACTGAGGTCTGAGATATAAAAGTATTTTTTAAAGTTCTACTGCAGTTGGGCATGGTGACTCACACCTGTAATCCCAGCACTTGGGAGGCTGAGGCAGAAGAATTGAGAGGGTGAGGCCAGCCTGGGCTACATAGTGAGACCCTGTCTCAAAAAATAAAAACTCTACTGTACTCCACTAAAGCCGGGTGCCGGTGGCTCACACCTGTAATCCTAGCTACTCAGGAGGCAGAAATCAGGATCGCAGTTCAAAGCCAGCCTGAGCAGATAAGTCTGCAAGACCCTATCTCAAAAAAACCTTCACAAAAATAGGGCTGGAGGAGAGGCTCAAGATGAAGGCCCTGAGTTCAAACCCCAGTACTGCCAAAAAAAAAAAAAAAAAACCTCCACTAAAACACACAGGGTCAAATTAAATTCACCTGAAAACCATACTCTTTGGGGAGCTCAAGAGTACACGCGGGCGTCTCCACCGCTAAAGTCCACTTCCAGATGCACACTTTCTGCAATCGAGAGCACAAAGATGGGCATGAGAGACCTCTTAGAGGTCCTGAAGAAACCTATGCCTCTTGCAGTGACCCTGCAACTTCAGGTAACTAGCAAAGGACCAGAGGCCCTGACTGTGCTGGGGAGTCTGGTCATCCAAGATGCCACAGACAATACAGGGCACATCTGACAGCAGTTGGCCAGCTTGCTGAGGCTAACCCGGAGGTCCCTTTACCTGAATTTCAGCATCTGAGATGGTTGCTAGGTACTTGGCATCGTGGGTGATGGCTATGGCCCTTATACCATTACCTTCTGGGCAGCTGTCAAATATGGTGTGTACAGGAATACTGCAAAACAAGACAAGGAGAAAGGCACTTGATGAGACCCCCCCCCGACCTCCCAGAGGTTCTGGGACGGGACTGAGCTCAAGTCAAACCTTCCTAAAACATAACAAAATGCAGGTGTTCTAGCCACACAATTGAATACCAGTCTAATTAATTCAGTAATTATTATTCATTATTCCATAAAGAGGAATGAAGCACGGATACATGCTACACCATGGAAGCACCTTGAAAACATGAAGCTGGTGAAAGAAGTCAGACATGAGAGGCCACATATTGTTTGTCTCCACAGCAGGCAAATCCACAGTGACAGAAAGCAGACTGGCGATTGACAGAGGCTAGGGGATGGGGAGCAGCTGATAATGGGCACGGGGTCTCCTTTGGGGTAATGAAGACATTTTGGAACTAGAGGGAGACAATGGCTGCATAACATTGTGGATGCTAAATGCCAGCACACTGTGCACCTTCAAATGGCCAAACTTATGTTCCATGAACTTAACCTCAGTAATAACAAAAAGCCTAACTACACAGTATGTAAGTGGCTGTCTGCTCTCTTCACGAGCTCCCTCATTCACTTGTCCCCCAGGTGCCGATTCTGTGCGAGGCATGTTGCCAGGCATGAAGGATGCAAATATGAAAATGATAACTAGGATACTGGCCCAGCTAGCAGGAAAACAGGTGCTGTCCTACCTAAGTGGGATGTAAACGAGCACAGCATTTAGCTACAGCTACCCAAATTTTAAATGCATGTACCCTCTGGACCAGTAATTCTACTCCTGTAACTTATGGAAGTGATAATAATAGCAAAATTAAACAAAGGGAAATGATGGTGGCACTGAATTAACAGCAAAAATGAAAGAATACAAATATCCACTGATACAAGAGTTATTGAAAAAATCATGCCGTATCATATAGTGAAAAACTATGCTGTCTTCAAAAAGAATGGGTAGATCTGAGAAGCTGACTGAAACTTTGTGGAAAAAAATGCAAATTGCAAAGCAGGATATCATTCTGAGTGTGTGCCTGTGTGTGAGCATATGTGTGTGTGAGTGTGCATTTACATATATAGAAAAAAGCCTGGAGGAACGGACTCCAGACCACACACAATGGTTCTGGTAAGGAGACAGGGCTTGGGGGAGGTAAGACTTTCTTCCTTTATTATACACTTCCATCCTGTGTCAAAGCTAAGACTTTACAATTCAGCACAACAGCACCATTCAAATAAAGCCTTGACATACGAAAGATTTAATTAGATGACATTTAAATGCCTAAGAGAGCCAAAGAATTCAGGAAACCATGGCAGCCACGAGGGAAGTAAGCTGTGACTGGGGCTGGGGAGTCACTGACTCCTCATGGGAGGGAAGGGCAGGCAGCTTAAGACTGAATCCAGGAGCCTAGGCTGTATGGTGCCCACTGTTTTCTGTTATGGAGCCCTTATCACAGTGAATATAAACAGGCCTCTGTATGTCACATCAGTGCCCCCGTTGACTGGAACCAAGTCTGTGTCCCAGCTGAGGGCTGTTCTGGTTCTCTGTCATCTGAGAAACTTCATTCCACTGAGAAGTAGCCCAAAAAATTCACTTGGAAAACAACCCTCAAATTCTTGGGAATGACACAATGGTGACCTTAGAGGGAAAGTGTATCTTATCCCTGGATATATATAGAATTAAATATATAGAGAGATGAAGTCAGTCAGATCTGTGCTATTAACATATTTATGATAAGAAAATTTGTCCATTTTTTAGGAATGCATGTTTAAAAGACATATCAAAGTCTCTAACAGATTTGATTAGTAATCCTAATCTAAAATATGTAGCTGATTTAGACTTGCAATTTTAAATTGAAATCATATTAAGTTCATAAACAATATTAGAATACTTAAGAAAAGTTAAAATTGACCTATTTTTGTCTAAATTCATTAGATTTATAAGAATTACTTAAGTACTGGTAGAGAATTTGTTAATTAGACTAGTAAAACTTAAATATAAAACTGTGTATATTAAATTTCTAAATGCAGTTTAAAGTGTTTAAAAAGAGTTAATAACCAAATTTGTGAGGCCAAACATTAATCAAAACCTCTTTAATGGTGATTGCAAAAATATGCTAGAAAATATTTATAAGTAGAGTAAGATTTTTAAATTGAACAAAAAGCTTAAGGAAGAACTAAGGTTTTTAATTTGTCATTTTAATAAAGTGTTTATTAATTATGAAACCAAAACATTCTTTGAATAATTTTTTCTGGGGCTCAAAGTTTTGAGCTGGGATACCATAAAATTCATACTGACAGTACACTTGAATTATTAATCATGGATATACTATTCTTGGTTTGGGGTTTATTTATGTATTTGTTTATTGGTGGTACTGAGGTTTGAACTCAGGGCCTCATGCTTGCAAGGCCAGCACTCTACCACTTGAGCCACTCCACCAGCCCTCCTGCTATGGTTATTTTTAAGATAGGGTCTCAGAGAAGTCAGACACATACTGCACGCTCCATTCATGGGACACGTCCAGCCTAGGCACATCTACAGAGTAGAAGACAGATCAGAATGGGCTGGGAAGAGAGGATGAGAGTTCTTCAGCATGGAGTTTCTACTTGGAGTGATGAAAACATCTGGAAACAGGAAGTGGTGAGGGCTGCTCATTATGAGTGTAACCAAAAGTAATACATTTGAAGCTGTACATATTTTGCCACAATAAAAATAAAATTGGCTTTACAGAGGATGGTGGAAGAGTGAACCTGTGGAAGAGGACCAGTGAGGACCTTGATGCAACAGTCTGAGCAGGTGAAACCAGGAGAGGCAGTGGGATGGATGCTGAATTTACTTGAGAGGCAGAGGCCAAGGATTTCTGGACATTTTAGTAGAAGATGTTCATGGGACATCCAGGTGGAAAGTCCTCAGCAGCTTCCCCTTCAGGAAGAAGAGGAAGCATGGAGTCACTGAGGTTACAACAGACTATGCTCTTCCAAACTTCATCACTGCAGACCATGGGGTTTTGGCAGATTTCTGGTTGGTTGGTTTTTGGGTTTGTTTCTTGTTGTGTTTTTGGTGGTACTCGGTGTTGAACTCGGGGCCTTGGGGCTTGCTGGGCAGGTGCTCTACCACTTTGAGCCACTCTGTGAGTCCAACCATAGGATATGTGTAAGGGACAGCCAGCACAGAGGAGCCTGAGGAGAGACTAGAAGGAAGGGACAGGAGCAGGGGGACAGGGAATCAGAAAGCCACGGGAAGTGCAGTGTCAGATGTCTCCACAAAGATGAGGACAAGGATTAGGTGACAGGGCCTGTGGAGGTCCTCAGTCAGCTGCGGAGAGCAGGTCCTGTGTCCTGCACTCCAGGACTTTAAACAAAACTTCTGCCTAATTTTCATGTTCATCTGGACTCACTAGTTGCCCCTCCCGCACCCAGTCTTATGATCCTGTCTAGAGCTATTATCTGCCTCTGAGCTCACAAGTTAACAAAGAAAACTCACCTATGAGCATCTATCATGGGCCAGGTTCATGCTCCACTGATCTCCACAACCATCCTGGGAGGTGGGTAGAAGTGGGTTGAATAGTGTCCCCCAAAACTCATGTCCACTTAGAACCTTATTTGGAAACAGGGTCTCTGCAGATACAGTTAGCTAAGATGATGTCAGTGGATGAGGATGGCCCTAAATCCAATGACTAGCGCCTGACAGAAGGGGAGACAGAGAGACGCAGGAAAAAGTGCCATGAGAAGACAGAGGCAAAGACTGGAAGGATGTGTCTTGGAGCCAAGGAACACAAAGACTGCCAGCGGCCAGCAGAGGCCTGGAACAGCTTTCCCTCAGAGCACCAGAAGGAATCAACCCGCAGAAACCTGATTTTGGACCTCTGGCCTCCAGAACTGTGAGAGAATAAATTTCTGTTATTTTAAGCCACCCAGTTTGTAGCAACTTGTTTCAGTGGCCTAAGGAAAGCCAAACAGTAGGTGTGGCACAGCCTCCTTCTTTCCACAGATGGGGAAAGTCACCTGACCTCTGCAGCCTCCAAGTCACACAACCAGTACTCAGCAGAGCTGGGGCAGGAGACAGGTAGACTCAGAGCCTACACAATCTTCCCCTGCCAAGCTGCTCTTTCATGGCACTCTGGAGTCTCCTGGGCCTTTCCCTCTCCCCTTCCAATCCTCCTACCTGGGCAAGACACTGAAAGCCACACTCCCCATTCCCATCCCCATGCTGCTTGTCAGCCTTGCTGGCATCGCTGGCATCGCTGGCACACGTGCTGACTGACCCACCGCGGGTTCGCATTGTTTTCTAGAATCAGGGTTCCTGGAACTCCACCGCCCTTCCTTCCCTACCGCCTTCTCAGTGTCACACCACACTGTGCCCCATGTCTCCAACTCCCAGCCCCCCCATTCATGAACATCCACCACACATATACCAGCCTCCTGCTTGGGAGCTGTTGTCCGCGGCAGCCATCTGGCTCCCCCAGATTCCCAACGGCCCAGGCACCTTCTTGCCCAGCATGTCTCAAACTGTGACGAAGGACTTCTACAATTCTCAACCTACTGCACACAAGCATTTTATAAACTAAAATAAGCAAGGTCAGATCATCCTAAGTCCCAAATGCTACTTCTCAATTTCTGTACTTCCTGTTCAGCCTGGGCCAGACCAGCTCAGCCTCTAGCCCCTAGAAATCCCACCAGTCCTCATCAGATGCATTGGCAGAGAGGGGGCCAGAAACCCTGAACTGTCTGACTTAGGAGAAAGGACATCCAGGATGGCTACCTTGATTTCTAGAAGGACTCCCCATCAGCATGTCACTGTAGGAGGGCAATAAGACATACGAGCAGATACGAGGAAGGACAGAATCCCACTTCCTGAGCCTGGGCCACATGCTGCAGACTCTGTGGACCTGCCTATCTCTCATAATCTCCCAATTTGGGCTTTGTAAGGTCTTACTGAAACAAGCACACTATTTACCCTGAGAAGGCTACTATAATTTTTTTCTCAAGTGCCAGATGGGACCAGTTTTGGTGACTGATACCTATAATCCCAGCTACTCAGGAGGTGGAGACTGGAGGATTGTGGCTTGAGGCCATTCCAGGAAAAGTTATCAAGACTTTCTCAAAAAGAAGGGGGTAGGAGGATAGTACATGCCTATAATCCCAGCTATAAGCAAATAGTTATTTGGACCATGGTTTTTTGGGTTTTTTTGCAGTATTGAGGTTTGAACTCAGGGCCTTCACCTTGGGCCACTCCACCAGCCCTATTTTTGTAAGGGTTTTTCAAGATAGGGTCTCGTGAACTATTTGCCCAGGGCTGGATTTGAGCCGAGATCCTCTTGATCTCTGCCTCCTGAGTAGCTAGGATTACAGGTGTGAACCATAGGCACCCAGCTTGGGCCATGTTTCAAGGCCAGTCCAAGCAAAAGTTTAAGACCCCATGTAAAAATTAAACTAAAAAGCAAAAGACTGGGAGTATGGCTCAAGTGGTACAGTGTTTGGCCCTGAGTTCAACCCACAATCCACAATACTGCCAAAAAAAGAAAAAAAAAAGTGATGGGGGTCTTAGCACAGGAAAAACATCAGACATGTTCTAATAGAGAGGCACCCTACAAAACTCCTGACTGTGCTTCCCAAAAGTGTTGAGGTCATTAAAACAAGACAAGGCTAAGACACTGCCGCAGCTAAGAGGAGCCCAAGAAGACATGACAAGTGCAAAGTGTGGTCTGGATGCAGTGTTAGAACAGAAGAGGAGTGGCTCAAGTGATAAGACACCTGCCTAGCAAATGTGAGGCCCTGAGTTCAAACCCCAGTGCCACCAAAAAAAAAAAAAAAGGTTATTAGGGAAAATGAGGTCATGTAAATAAACTCTGCATCAATGCCAGCTCATTAACTATAACCAGTAACAATTATGGTGCTCTAGCATGAGATGTAAACCGTATGGGAAGCAAGGGGGACGGGGTGGGGTGGGGGGGTAGATAGGAATTCTCTGTACCGTCTTCTCAAGTTTTCAGTAATTCTAAAATTGTTCTGAAAGTGTAATTTAATTAAAAGAGAGAGTGAGAAAAGAAAAAGCAAAAAAGAGAGAGGCAAGAGTGGTCTGTGAGCAGGGGGAGTTGTCACAAGTGAGAAGCTGCAAGGAAACAGCAGCCTCCCATTTTCAGCTCTTCTAAACCAATGAGAACTGCGTCAACATCAGGCAGGCTAGGCAGCATAAAACACATGGAGAGCTGGGGTGGGGGGACAGCTGGTGGTAGCCATTAAGAAATTTCCAGAAGAGGTGACCTGAAAAATTCATTATAAGTGACAGATTTGGCATCTGGTTTATGCTTTGAGCTTATGTGAGCTAGGTTATTGTGAGTCAGCCCTCTCTCAGCCCAGTCAAATCTGGATAACCAGCAAGCCACGTCTCTATGCTTCACATTACTCATTGTGGCTTAGTCACAGTGGCTGATACTGTACAGAAATTAGGGGAAAAAAGAAGAGACTATACAAAGCTACCCTGTGAAGGAGTCCCATATAATTATCAGGCAGGCTGGCCCTTTGTCTGCTGTGGCGATCCACCGCCTGTCTGCACTGACGCAGAGGCAGGAGATGACATTAGGATGGCCCTAGGGAAATGAAGGAAAAACACTTTGAAATGACCAGGATGTAGCCCAGCCCTGGAGGTATGAGCACCTTTCAAGGCTCCTCTGGCTAGAAGGCCCATGGACCTTCCCAGGGCCTTCTCTATCTCCTGGTGGGGCTTCTCAAGCTTTCTCTCCCTCACAACACTTGAGGAATAAGTTATACTCCCACAGGAACAGTCAGCACGAACCTCACCCTCAACCCGGGCTGAGTCAGGACCTGGCTCTCCCTGCCCCAGCACCCTTGAACTCCCCAGCGGCCTCACCTTTGGAGAATGCTGCCCACTGATTTCTTATTCAGTCCTATCCTCCTACAATCCTTTTCCCACACTACAGAGAAATCTTCTAGAAACATATATATATATATATATATATATATAGATGGCTGCAACCAAGTCCCATGTCCTTCCCCTGTGCCTCATCTCCCTTGCTTGCTCTGCACCAGCCACACTGGCCTCCTTTCAGGGTCTCCTGAAAAAGGTCTGAGAACTTGGAGCTCCCTCCTTCTGGAATGTTCTCTCCCCAAACTGTCCATTGGCTCATTTTCTCATCCTGCGGGTCTCATCAGAAACAGGATGTTTGTAGTCCCTTCCTGCCCCATCTAAAGTAAGTCCCGTCCCAACCTGATTTTTCTTTCTTAGAGCAGGTTCGCATTTCTGTTCAATTTAATTGGGATCATCCCTTAGTGTTCACTGGTTTGATGTTGTCCTCACACTAGACTGGAAGCTCCATGAGGGCAGGGACTGGATCTGTTTTGTTCATGACCACAGACCCATAATTTGAAACTCAGTGGTTGGGATGAATAATTGTGGAAGGAGTGAAGTCAACGCTCTCAAACATGGACCTGGGGGATGGGCTCCAGTGAGCCCACTGGACCACATGAGTCGCCCCCCTATCTGAGCTGCCTACAACACAGTCCCCCTCTCCTCTGCTGTCACTCCTGTGCTTAGTGCTGCATGCTCAACCTAGCTCCAAGGGGAGCTGCTTTCTGACTTTTTTCTTGTGTGTTTCTGGATTTCTAGAAAATAAATCCCTTCAGTTGGACTCATATATCTGGAGTCCTGGGCTGAGTATTGCCTGGCTGCCTGGTAAAGACTTTTGAGTTTCAAGTTTCTGATCCAGGCAGTGATGAAGGAAGGGCCTAGAACAATACACCTCAATGAACCATATACTAGGTCAACAGTGGAAACTCAGACACTAGGAAACTTGGACATCTGGGTCAGTAGATGATGACATTGAACAGGGTCAAAAGTCAGGAATGGAGGAAGCAAAGGGGTATGAGAGCAGGCATGGAGGATACCTGGGGGCACTGAAGGGGTAAAGTAAGGAACGTTGGTGAAGGGAGGGGTGGACAGGAGGACCACTGGCCCACTGAAGTCAAGAGACCCAGAGTCATCATTTACTAGTGCATTCTTGGGCCTGTCACTTAATCACTCTGAGCCTCAGTATCTTCTGTAACATGGGTATGTCAGCATCCCCTTCTCAGCAAGGTTAGAAGCTCCAAACCCTATGGAAATTGAGAAGGAGTCTATGTGTTTAAAAGTGAATCCTGAGTGAGCAGATTCACCATGATTCTGTAGAGACATGCTCTATGCTGGTCACATTTTTTGCAGAAGTATAAAAAAACAGAGGTTTCAAATCCTTTTTTTTTTTTTTAATTGAGATATGGTCTTGCTATGTAACCTAGGTTTGCCTGGAACCTAATATGTTGCCCAGGCTGGTCTTGAACTCACAATCCTCCTGCCTCAGCCTCTGGAGAGCTGTGATTATGGGCATGCACCACTGCATCTGGCTGTGCCAAATTCTTGTAACAATAAAATGAGTATCAACTGGAGTTCCTACAGTAATACTGACTAGAATCAAAGACAGTGTTTCTAAAGTTGAGGTTTACTGTAGTCCAAAGGAGAGGCAGGAAAGCATGGCAATGAAACAATGGGGTCAGCCCGACATCCAAAGCAAAATGCTTCATGAAAGGTAAAGACATCTTCTGCCTGCAGGAAGAAAAAGCTGCATACCTGAAGATGATACTGAGTGTTCCTGAAGACATCGTAGATGACTGCGGTGTGAGCGCAAACATACAGAAGCACTCTGTGGTTCTGGTCTCGGAGGTAGTAGACAGGAAGGGAACTGTTCCATCCAAATGACCAAGTCATGGTCTGCAAGACAAAGGCAAAACCAGCAAGAGGCTAGTGCTAACCCCGGCACTGTGGTTCCCCATGCTCTCAGTAACAGTCCCTGGAAGAGAACTTCATATCAACAGACCACAAAGAAACCATTTTAAGAAACTTTCTCACTGGGCCCTGGTGGCTCACGCTTGTAATTCTAGCTACTTGGGAGGCAGAGATCAGGAGAATTGTGGTTCAAAGCCAGCCTAGGCAAATAATTCTTGAGTCCCTATCTTGAAAAAAATGAACACAAAAAAAGGGCTAGCGAAATGGCTCAAGTGGTAGAATGCCTGCCTAGCAAGCATGAGGCCTGAGCTCAAAGTCCAGTACCACCAAAAAAAAAAAAAAAAAGAAAAGAAAAGAGAAGGCCAATGTGGGTGGTGCACACCAGTAATCCCAGCACTCTAGAGGCTGAGGCAGGAGGATCTCAAGTTCAAGATCAGCCTAGGCTACACAGCCAAACACTATCTCAAAAAGTCTTTAATATTAAGTAGAAATAAATTCCTTGGATTTTATCTCAGTGGTAGAGCACTTGCCTAGCATGCATAAGACCTTGGATTTGATCCCCAGAACTGCAAAACACAAAACAAAAACATTCCTTCTACTCCTTAGGACCCAAGCTCCATTTGGTACCAACTCACAGCCAGTACTTAATGTAGGTGAAATTCCATTTACTTCCTGAAAGCATATAGAATAGATAAGTTATAATGAAGTCATTAAGTAACTTTTTAAGACAATTAGCTAGGCATGGTGGCTCACACCTGTAATCTCAGCTACTCAGGAGGCGAAGATCAGAAGGATTGTGGTTAGAGGCCAGCCTGTACAAAAAGCTAGCAAGGCCCCCATCTCAGCTGGGTATGGTGGCACGCACCTGTGATCCCAGCTAGGCAAGAAGATGATGGTCAGAGGCCAGCCCTAGATCAAAACCCTATCAGAAAAATAATTACAGCAAAAAGGGTTGAGGGTGTGGTTGAGGTGATTAGAGCATCTGCCTAGCAAGTGGAAGGTTCTGAGTTCAAACTCTAGTACCACAAAAAAAAGATAATTATTCAGCCTGAGTATTTGGTTCTTATATACCATTTTTCTGGAAGGATAAAGGATGTATATAAGGAGACAGCCTAGACTTTGAGAGGCTCAGGCTGAGGCTGGTAAGTTTGAGACCAGCCTGGGCTATATAGCAAGACTCTTAAAAAAAAAATCAAGGGACAAAATCCCACATTTCCAATAATAAATCCAAAATAAGAATTTTATGAAATGAAAAACAAAGACATCGTGGAAAGGCAAAGCTATGGAGACAGAAAAAACATCAGTGGCTTCCAGGGTTTAGGAGGAAGAAGAGCAGACAGAGCCTAGGCAGGGGACTCACAGGCAGTGAGTCTGTCCTCAGTGACACTGAAATGGGGGACACACACCATTCCACATTTGTCAAAGCACATAGAGTGCACAACACAGAGTGGCCTCTAATGTAATCTGTGGACTTTAATTAACAATAATGAATTAATACTGGCTTATCAATGCCAACAGACACACCACACTAATGCAAGATATTAATAAAAGGGGAGACTGGGAGAGGAGAGAGGCGCCAGGGAGTTTATGGGAACTCTCTGTACTTTCAACTCAATTTTTCTATAAACCTAAAACTGCTCCAAAAAACAAGATCTATTTAAAAAATTCACTAGGGCCAATTAAACAAATGCAGTGTTGAAAGCGCTGGTGGGTGAGTGATGAGTTGCTAAAAATCAGTGAATGATATCGGAGTGTAGAAACACAATCCGGCAAGTTTCCTTTCTTATCTTTGAACAACACCACTTACAAAGTTAACTAGAGGGAGCAGATATTTCTCCCCAAGGAACGTGTAGCAGGGGATGTGGCCAGCTTCTCTCCCCTATATTTTCCATTCTCCATCCTCTCCTGTTTCCATCTGCTCATTCCCTATAATTTATATTTCCATTTAGATCTCTGATTGTGTGGGTGTGAGTGGTAGAATTATGGAATCAGAATTGTCTCAAGTTGCAACTTCTAGGAACAGAATTATTTAATATTCATTCGGCTGGTTCTTAAAAGTCGATTCATGCAAATGAAATTGTTCTTTTGGAAACTTGCTAATCTTAAAAGGATCATCTTATTCATCCTGGAAATTTATTTTGCCACTGTACAAATCAGTTATATAAAAGAAACAGACTCCTGTCTTTGACACAACAGCTCTTTCAAGATCAAAACTGGGTTGACTTCACCTACTGGTGACAGGACTACACCACTCAGGTAGCATTCATGATCACGGACATCCCAGAGTTAGTCACCACATTTTACACCAGTTTTAACATTCACAGCAAGTGATCATAAAGATAGTAATTTTTACATCCAAATTTTTCTAAAACATGGTGACGTGAAAAATAAAACTTTATTGTCAAAACTGAATTTCAGCCAGACATGGAAGCCCACACCTATAATCTAGCTACTAGAGAGGTAGAGATAAGATCATGACTTAAGGCCAGCTCTGGCAAAAAGTTAGATGATCTTACCTTAAAAATAAGGTAAGTGGTGGTACACATCTGTAATCCCAGCTACTAGAGAGGCAGAGATAGGAGGATCTTGGTCTGAGGTCAGTCTGGGCAAAAGTGTGAGACCCTATCTGAAAAGCAAACTGAAAAAAAAAAAAGGACTGGGGTTGTGACCCCAAGTGGTAGAGCACTCATCTAGCAAGCACGAGGCACTGAATTCAATTCCTAGAACCTCCAAAAACAAAAAAACAAAAAATATATTTTTTGCCTATAAGTATATGCTTATTTTGTTTCTTGGGTGGAGATGGAATGCATGGTTATGTTTGCTTGCTAGGAACACTGTTTTACAGGCCTCTGAACCGAGGCAGGGGACCCCAAGAGAGAAAGAGGCGGCTGTGGGCACAGAGACAGGGGAACACATTCACTGTGGCACCTTTTGTGACTGGGAGGAAAGAATTAAAAGCAACACAAATTGCCCCTGAGAGGCAAACAGTGAAATTTAAAAAGAAAAAGTGGAGCTACAGGCATTGATACAAGAAACCTTCCAAGACATACTAAGATTTTCACATCTTGCAGAAACGCATATTATCTTAAGTGTTAAAAAACAAAAGAGCTGGGCCTGGTGACATATACCTGTAATCACAACATTTGGCAGCCTGAGGCAGGAAGATCACAAGCTCAAGGCCAGCCTGGACTACATAGCAAGATCTTATCTCAAACAAACAAACCAAAAACCAAAAACCAAAAAAAAAAAAAAAAAAACTGAAAAACACAAGTAAATGTGAGCTATATATATGTTACTTACTTACCTGTGCACCCATGAGCATAAGACAGCATGTGTATATGCATGGACAAAAGTGAGGACTCTAACAGGAGTTCCCTCTGGGAAGTGGGCTTGGGGTGGGAGGGTGTGTGGAAGAGCCTTTGCCTTCAAACATGTCCGTCTTGTCTGATTTTTTTTTAATAGAACACTGGTCTTTTAACAAAAAGAACAAATAAGAAAAAGAGTGCTCCCAAAAAACTAGAGAAATTTTCAAAGGTCTAGAAAAATTTGGGTTTTGTGATGAGACCAAAGCTGACAGGGGACCCAAAACTTTGAGTGGCTCTGGTCCAGCCCACATGACAGGAGCCCCAGTCTGGATCACTCATTCCCATTAAGATTCTCCCCAACTGCATGTTAGCTTGCTAAACAGGACGGAATTCTTCATGGGCCCTAAAACTCAGTTATTCTTTCCCTTGCACTGAACACTGAGAGAACATGTAACTCCCCTGCTCACATCAAGTTGAATCTACAGAAAGGAGGATTTTTGATTGTATTTCCCACTAGACAGCTCCATCTTCATCACTGTCATGGTCATCAAAATACAATTTTGAACACTTATCAAGGGCTCACTCTGCAGTAGGAGCTATGCAAGATACTCTATATACCATCAATCTTCCAAATCTTCCAAAGGCACAAGTCCGGCAGGGGGTGGGGCATTGTGGTAATGAATCCTAAGAAACAGTTTTCAGAAAGTAACAGATGGAGGGGGAGTGAAAAAAATCCCCTCCTCTTCCTTCTCTGGGTAAATGATAATATTTTTATGCCTCACAGATGGTGCCTCCCTAGAAAATTGTCAGCAGCAGCAAAGGCAGATTCCTTGAGACTGCCTGGTGCTCTGCATAGTGGCCTCCAATTTGGCCATGCCTGTCACTTTCTGACCAGGGTTTGGGGGAGCTCATAAAGGTATTGATTCAGTTATGGCAGAAGAGATGAACACAAAAGGTAAAGGGAGGAACTAAAAGGATGAAGGAAGAATGTTACAATGTGGGAGACAGAAAAGAGAGAAGAGAGGAGGAGGAGAGAAAGAGGAAAAGGAAACAGGAGGAAGGAGGAGAGGAAGAGAGAGAGAGAGACAGAGAGAGAGAGAGAGAGGAGAAAGGAGACAGGACGAAGACAAGAGAAGGAGGGAGGAGATTTTGAGCCTCCCACACAAAATAGCACCCTATGCAATAGTCAAACTATGTCTGGAATTTCCTGCCTGCTGAACAACACTGTAGAACCCGGATGTAGCATTCATGTTTCATGACCCATGTCCAGCCAGAACTTTTAACTGAACTTGAAAAGATACAGTCTAAAAAGTATTCCTTTACAAAGTACCTTTCTGGCAGGGCACAGGTGGCATATGCCTGTAATCCTAATTACCTGGGAGGCAGAGATTGGGAGATCAAGGCTGGAGGCCATCCTGGGCAAAAAGTGAGACCCTATCTCAAAAATACCTGACACGAAAAAGGGCTAGTGGAGTGGCTCAAGTGGTCAAGTGGTAGAGCACCTTATTAATAAGCATGAGGCTCTGAGTTCAAACTTCTTATCTTTCTGGTAGTATCTTTCTCCCCATATGGCTACATTTCCCCTACCTTACAATACTTCCCACATCCTGGGAGAAATGAAGGTGCAATGTTCCACTTACCAGGGGGTATGGGTATGTCTTGGTGCTCTCATCCTTTTGAAACAAAGTGTCCCCTGTGGAAGTGGACACCAGCGACTCCTTGGAGATCCCTGCTTTGGAATAGAATTCTTTTCCTTCTTCCTCACTGAGGGAGTAGGATAATTTCTTTTGTTTCTCTTCACCCCTTTGTCTTTCCTTTTTTTCTTCACCTCCCTCTTTTGGTTCCAAGTCTCTTCTTTTTTGTCCTAATTTGTCCTGGTCAGTTTTCTCCTCAGTTCCTCCTGAGGACTGACTTTCAGAGGAACTACTCTGTTGTTCCTCAGAAACTACTTGATCTGAATCAAATAATTCAGTGTCAAGGCCTCTTAAAAACTCATTTGTTTCTGATTGCAATGACTCCTTTGACTTGCTACTCCCAGGAGATCCCTTTCAAAAGAAAGAAAAAGCAGACTAGTGATACCAAACACAGTATCTCTGTTACATTCTCCCATCTATTGGCCTTTCCTTTTCCTGATCAGCCAACTTCAGGGTCAGCCTCACCTTGGAATTATGATATATATATATTTTTCTTTTTAACAAGGAGCCTGGTCATTTTGTACTTAAGAAATGACTTTTGGGTGTGTTAGGGTTTATTATTGGCCTACCAACAGACCCGCTACAGCAAAATTATTCTTCTAAGTGAACTGGTTATCTCTAAAAGGTTGCTCATGGCAGACTATCTTTTCTTGGGCCAAGGCTGAGTTCTCCCTGAGAGTTGGCTGCGGGACGCCTACATCTTTATGCCACACTGACTATTCTAAGACAAGCGTACTTCTGCTAAGCCCCACCTGCTCTTTCATCTCAGTGCCTTTTCTTCTCTCCTGTCTCACAATGACTGCACTTAACACATGGTTTTATAATGTTCAGTTTGAGGTCTGCCTCCCTACACACTGTGTATTATTTGGCTTTGTCTCCCCATGGCCTGGCATATACTAAGCACACAATGAATGATTCTGAATGAATGGATAAATTACAATTACTACTTACCAATGAAACACCTGATATGGTTGACTGAAGACCAGGAATAACTTTCTCCAAACCGAACTTGAAGATTTCTTTGGGCTTCACTGTGGTTTCCTCCTGAGCTCTAATCTCTTTCTCATATTCTTCTATGATAGCATCTTCCTCCAGCCCCTCTTCTTCTCCTTCCTCTCCCCCCTCTTCATCCCACTCTTCCCACCCCTCCCACTCCTCCTCCTCTTCCTTCTTCTCTGTCTCTTCCCCTTCCTCCCCCTCCTCCTCCTCCTCCTCTTGAGGTTCTCTCCAGGCTAACATGTTATCTTCTTTTGATTTCTGTTGCAGATTTTCTACTTCTTTATAATTCAGATTATCTTCTTCCATTTCTGTCTCTCCACTTTCTACTGTTTCTTCTAGGGGATTTTCTTCTGCATCTGACATTCTTATTGGTAGAATTTCCTTTAGAGAAATTTTGAGCATAATAATCATCAGGACTCTCTGTTTCCCATTTTGATTTTCTGTGCACTAACCTCTGAAATGTACAATGCTGGCTCTGGTTCCTTTCCAAGGGAACAAAAAGAATGTCACATTCTTGGGAAAACCTCACCCAAATCTTAAAAATATTGATCCCAGAACTTCTCATCTTTCTAGGAATAACCTTAGAGCCTTCTAACTCATTTTAAATATATTCGTATTCCCACAGGCAGCAAATGCATAACCCAGGCTATTAGCAACAATTCTACTGATAGGAATCAAGCTGGTGGAGTGGCTCAAGTAGTAGAGAGCCTGCCTAGCAAGCATGAGGCCCTGAGTTCAAACCCCAACACTGCCAAAAAAAAAAAATGTAAAGGGAGAAATGGCCCAATGTATGCACATATGAATAATTAAAAAAAAAAAAAGAATCAAAGAAGTGGCAGCATAGCTCAGTGGTTAAAGCATGGGCTTTGCAAAGCCTGGCATTCAATCCCATTTCCATTACTCACTTGTTGTGGTGCCTTTGCCCACTTTTGCTCCTCAGAGTCATTTGCTCACAGAGAAATAAGAATGATAATCCTAAATTCTGGTACTGTTGTGAAGACCTCAGGACATAACATGTCAAATGCTAGACACACTTCCAACACATAGTACTTGAGAAACAAATGGTAGCAGTTGCTATGGGGATTAAGGCAATCTTAATGCTGCAAAGAAATGAACTGTTTAAATGCCCTCTCATTTTTTCCCTTACAACAAACAAGAGTTGGAGCCTCTGAGAGGTGATGTGACTTATTCAGACTACACAGCGGGAACTCTTTTGACTGATCCAAACTTTGACAGTGCATCCTGCCGGGGGATGGCCCAGGGAGCCAAAGGGGTCGAGGAGAGGGTGGAGGAGAAGAGCGTAAAGCACTTTCTCCGGCTCGTGTCTCCCTGTCACACCCAGGCCAGGTCAACCTGGGTCGTGAGGCACCAGACCTCGCCAGGCCAGGACCCCATCCGGGCCCATGGCCCCAACCCCAAACTCACAGGGCGCGCCCACCTGGCTCCGCAAAAGGCCGGGGTCCTCCTGCTTCCCGAACCTCTAGCCGCTACCACCTTCTTTACGCGCTCCTAGTTACGGTTGCTACCCAAGCTCCGTCCCCATGGCAACCGCCGGAGCCTCCGGCATTTAGCCGTAAAGCGAAGGCTTGGGTCACGTGCCCAGAAAGCTGCGAGCGGGGCGGCCCGCCCCCTGCCGGCCGCTGGTTGGCTGCTCATCTTTTGAGCTGCAGTGACCAACACCGGCCAAATTCTGACTTTCGAAAGCTTGGCAAGATTAAGTAGTATGAAGCGTGTGATGAAATTCTTTGTGCCAAAAGCGAACCCAATTTCCTAGTATTGTAGATGCATCCAACACACATCTGTCCTGCCTGCCTCCTCACCAAGGGCACTGCCTGTACAGAGAATTTTAGCTAGCTGGGATTGAAAAATACATAGGCTGCATGATCTCGCTGTTCTTATCACAAAGTATTTCTGCAAAACCAGCTTGGTTAAATCCATTTGGGTCATTCTGTGTTAAACTGCCTCTCAGATAGAATCACAGAAGGTAGCCATCCTGAGCTTTCCAGGGGAGGCCTATGACAACCCAGCCAAAGCACTGATGTAGAAGACTCCTGGTGCTGCCATTTTAAAGCATGAACGGTTCTCCCCACTCCTTCCACCATGCCCCAATGCTGGTAAGTTTAAAAAAGGATAACATATGCATATGCAAACATTTAAAAAAGGATAAAGTGGAAGGTTCAAGCTGTGTTTATTACAGTCTGGGACTTAAAAGATACTGGGAAATACTTGGAATTAGAACAGGCAATTTAAACAGCAAACACGGTAAACAGCGTTCTGTGGCTATAGAGGGGAATATATGAGGCTGGATGGCTGGAACAGTTTGGGGAAGAGGCTCAACAGGAAGGCTTTCGAGGTGAGCATGAGAACCCACGGCTAGAAGCACTAGTAATACTGACTGCCATCAGGGCAATCTAACCAAGCAGATCCAACCCCAAAGATCACAGACTTCCAGGGCAGAGTGTGCCATACCTCCTTCCAAAACAGAACGTGGTCTGTGAGAATTGGGAAAATCAACACTGAGTTACCATGGAGAGCGGAGGAAGGTTAAATGTGGAGTTATTAGGAATCACTGAGACCAATTTACCATCTTAAAAGACAGGAAATAAAGGGAAGCAACATTTCAAGGTTAAATCTGTAAACACTTTTAATCAGCAATGTCAAGCACACCTATTTACAAAACTGCTGACCTCAGGGCATGGCGGAAAGTTCATTTATAAAAAGTCAAATTAAAAGCTAATTTGCAGAGTTTTTTATTCCAGAGGTGAAGGGGGCTTTTTGCTCTGTGGTAGGTTACTGAAGAGAAAACCAACATCACACTGGGCTTTCTGGCTTGCCCCATCCTCCAAAGCAAGCTATGATGGCCACAGAGGTCTAACTTCTAAGGATGCACTGAACTCTTTAGTACTTTCTGTATCCAGAGCAGCAATGCCCCAGTGCAAAGAAAGATAATGACTTTGGGAACTAGAGAGTATAGCTCAATGGATGAACGACTGTCTAACCTGCATGAAGCCCTGGCTTCAATTCCCAGTACTACACACACACATACACATTCAGAAAAAGAGTTGGCTTTTTTTTTTTTTTTGGTGGGATTAGAGTTTTGAACTCAGGACTTCACGCTTGCAAAGCAGGTGCTCCACCACCAGAGCTACATCTCCAGGTCATTTTGTTCTGGTTATTTTGGAGATGGGGTCTCAGAAACTATTTGCCTGGAATTGGCCCTGATCTCAGCCTTCCAAGTAGCTAGGTTTACAGGTGTGAGCCACCAGCACTCAGCTCACAGACAAGTCTTGATTTTAGCAGTTTGGGCAGTTTCTTCTGCCCATATTTAAGGGTGTTCCACCCCTGAGTTTCGGTTTCAGAGGCTCGTAAGAAATTCAACTGGGGTGATAACATGATCATATCAGCACTGCAAAACTGTGTTTATTTGAAAAAAGAAAACTCCTCAAAGAATAGAGTCATATCAGCACCTGCCACAATAATTCACACCCATCTGCCCAAAATCTAGAAAATTCTTATATAGGGCCATGGCCTAGTTTGCAAAAGACAGTAAACACAGATCATGTTTTTAACAATGCCTTCATCCAGAAAGATTACACTGGAAGGCCACAGCATTTCCACCACCTTGATGTTCAGACTTCCATCTGCTTTCAGATCCTTAAACTTCAGGGAGCGAAGAGAACGAGGAAATCCCCACCAGGCCCAAGTCCTGGGCAAGGCTGAAGAAGCTCTGCTGTTGCTATTCCCCAGGGACAGTCATCTTTGCAAAGGAATAATGTTGCAGCTGCAAGGAGAAAGAGAGGCCTGGGTTGAGTTTGGTGATTGATCCCTTCTGAGCGTTTACTTACGTGCTTTCATTTGCTCTTTTTGTTTTTCAGATAGGGCTCTGCTATGTAGCCCAGGATGGCATCAAACGCACTATCCTTCTACCTCTGCTCCCCAAGTGCTGGGATTACAAATATGCATAACCATGCTCCACCTCTTTTTTTTTTTTCTGTACTGGGTTTTGAACTCAGGGCCTCGAGCTTGCTAGGCGGGCACCCTACCACTTGAGCCATGTCTCCAGACAAATACTCAGGTAAGGAGGTGGGCCAGGGATGTAGCTCAGTGGTGGAAAGCCTAAATGGCATATGCAAGACCCTGGGTTCAATCCCTAGTATCATTTGGGGGGAAAAAAAGAAGTAAATGTTCAAGGTAGGTAATGAAAGAATCAGAGATTCCTAGGTGATACCAGGGCTTCCTCCATGTCTACACACACCTGCAGCCTCATTCCTACCATAGGTGTTTATCACCAGTTTCTCCTGTTCTGGGGATTCCCATCACTCAACACCCCTAGCATCCCTCAACTTTATGACTAACACTCACTCATCAGTGAACAAATGAATGACCACAGGAAGCAGATACGTTACCCCAGCAGTCCTTTTCCTGCCCAGCGTGTTGGGACAAGTCTAAGCTGGTGTTTCTCCCCTCGCCGGAGCACAGTCACGTTCAGGGGCTTCTGAAAGATAACTAAGATCATTTCAGACTCAGCTTCATTAATATTCAAGGACATTCAGGTTACAATGCTGACATAACATTTTTTGCCTATCAAATTGATAGAGATTTGTATTTTCAGCATAATCCTGTAATTGGCAAGAGTGGGAGATGTAGCACCCTGGGACTAGCCAGTGGTACTACAAATCAGTATCATCTTCCTGGAGAAACAGCTCCTCCCCCCTCCCAAGAAAAAGGTCTCTATAACTTACATTTTATAGGCCAGGCATTGGTGGCTCATGCCTTTAATCCTAGCTACTTGGGAGGCAGAGATTGGAAGGATCACGGTTGGAGATTAGCCCAGCATAAAGTTCTCAAGATCACATTTCAGACAATAAAAAAGCTTGCATGGTGGCATGCACCTGTCATTGAAGCTAGGTAGGAAGTACAAACAGGGGGATCATGTTCCAGGCTGGCCTGGGCATAAAAGGAAGGCCCTATTAGAAAAACAATTAAACCAAAAAGGGCTGAGGACATGACTCAAGTGGTAGAGCACCTGCCTAGCAAGTGCAAGGCCCTGAGTTCAAATCCTAGTACTGCCAAAAGAAAAGATACATTTTATGAAAATACAAAATGATACACAATGAAGTTCACTTCAGGACTGTCTATAAATTTAAAAACTGAAAGCACTTGAAACTTCCATTAATAAGGTATTGTTTGAACACAGCACAGTGTTTTAGTAAAAACAAAACTAAAATACAAAAATCTTTTTTCTAAACCCCAGCAAACTATGAACCCATTTGGTGATTATTTTCTTCCTCCTTCCCCCCCCGCCCCAAGTAATGGGGATTAAATTTAGGGGAAAAAAAAGAAAGAAATAGTTACTTCCAAAGAGAAACACAGGAGTTTGGGGTGAAAAAAACAACAAAAATAAGGAAGATGTTTGCTTTTAATCTTTCACAAGCTTTTTGGAGTACACCTTGACAACATCTATCAAATCTACACTGCACAATGCTTTTTTTTTTTTTTTTTTTTTTTAAGGTTACAGGTTTTTATTTATTTACTTACTTATGGTGGTACTGGGGTTTGAACTCAGGGCTTTGCACTTGCAAAGCACATGTTCTACTGCTTGAGCCACACGCATACCTCCAGTCCATTTTGCTCTTGTTATTTTGGAGATGGGAGTCTCTCGAAGTATTTACCTGGGCTGGCCTTGAACCATGATCCTCCTCATCTTAGTCTCCCAAGTAGCTCGGATTACAGGTGTGCGCCACTAGCACCCACTATGTTATTAACCCAGGAATTCAAGTTCTGAAACATGACAAACACCCTCATGCAAGGCAAGGATCCTTGTCCCACCATGTGTGTAATGTCCGAACACTGGAAAGAGCCAACATGTGCAGTATGGGGCAGGGTTAAATAAGACAGTGAATGGACTATGGTGGGGTCACTGGTGAATGATGAGAGACATGCAGCATGTACAACGAGGGGAGAACTCTAGAGCACATGCAGAGTAGACCCTCCTTTACCTTCCTGTCAGACAGCAATGGCGCAGACATGAGTACCCACACCCAGAGCACACGAGGGACAGAGATGTGCTTCCAGCTGTGTAATGACACCAGGGCCAGCTGTAAGCCCAGAGGTCATGGCCATCTCCACATGCTCAGGTCCATCTACTTTATGTCCTACATGTCTCTGCTTTGTCCACCTCCTTCCACCTCCACTCTAGTAGTCAAAACCACCATCACCCCTTGAGCCAGTTGCTAAAACTCACCCCTCCAAACTGCTCTCTACCTAGCAGCAGAGAAATCCTCTTGCTTGTGCCTGTCACTCCCTAGCTTGGAAGGGTGCAGTGGCTCCCTACTGCCCCCAGAAAAACAGAACAAAACCTTTGCTAGGGATCCCAAGACTTGCAGGGTCTGGCCCCACCTTTCAGCCTTGCTTCCTCCACTCTTCCTGGCTCTGGACTCCTTTCTTCGTTCCTACTACCTCAGGGCCTGTGAACCCACCTCAAGGCTCTCCCGTGGCCGGCCTCTCCACTTCAATACAGACCAAGGGTCACGTCCTCAGGGACCGGCTTCCCTTTCTACCCCTGCACGTTCCCTCCAGAATAGTCAGCAGAATGTGGGGTCACACACCTGTGACTACTGGATTAACACCTGCCTCCCTTACCAGTGTACTCCCTAGGCAAGAACCCTCTCTTTATCTGTTTTCTTCCCTGCTGTAGTCCCAGAACCCATCCAGGAGTCAGCAGCACACACAAGGGAAAGTACTGAGGGATAGAGTGAAATGGGGTTTTTATTTTTACTTTAAATACTTTTGCACTAGGTAATTTTTATTAAAGATAAAAGATGCATTACTTTTATTGTTGAGACATAACTCATATAATAAAATTCTTCATTTTTAAAGTATACAACTCAGTGGGTTTAGCATATTGAGAGATATGAATCATCACAATTCCAAAATATTTTCATCATCCAAAAACATGGTACCCATTAGCAGTCACTCCCCATTCCTCCTCCACTGTCTCCTAGCCACCATCAGCCTACTTTCTGTCTACGAATCTGCCTTTTGCACAATTTTATATGAATGGACTTATACGCCATGTGGTCTCTTGTGTCTGGCCTCTCACTTGACATCACGTTTTCGAGGTTTGCCCTTGTTACAACATATACTGTGCTTCATTCCTCTTTTACATTTTTATTAATGTATATTAATTGTACAAAGGGCTTTATTTCTTTTTGTAACTGAGTACAATATGCATTGTTTTTATAATAAAGACAATTTTTTTTGCAACATTGAGAATTGAAAACCACCGTCTCACACATGTTCAGCAAGTGCTCTACCACTCAGTCACAGCCCAGTCCAAGACAATAAATTTTTTAATTAAAGATTTTTTTCCTTGGAAAAATGTATGTATTTGGTCCAGAAAGTTACTTGAAGAAACAGATTTACCTACAAGAGTGTTAATCTCTATGCTTATTGGAAATTACCTAAACAGGTAACAAGAATGCTGTTTGGGTTTTTTTTTTTTTTTTTTTGGTAAGTTCACAAAATAGACAATAGAAACCCAAATGGTTCCTTCTCAAGCTGGGCTCTGGTCCCAGGAGGACTGGGCAGGGAGTGGGGGGTGGGGGGATGCAGGGGGATTCTGACAGGATGGGGCTGAGGCTGGGCTCTGGTCCCAGGAGGACTGAGGCAGAGGGTGGGGGGATGCAGGGAGATTCTGACAGGATGGGGCTGAGGCTGGGCTCTGGCCTCACGAAACACAGCCCTCAACCTATCACGGCAGCTTTGCTCTTACTGATTTGGTGATATTGGAATTCCCCATGAGATTTCTCTTGAAGAAAAGGTTCTTTTTGTTTCAAAATGTAAAGAAGGATTTATAGTCCTACAAAGAAGTTGAGAATATATTTATTTAGAAAAGGTAGATTAAAAACCAATAGTTATTATCAAAAATAACCACAAACAGGAGATACCGTATGTGTCCCTTCTGGTATGTGAATAAACTACCTGTGGTGGCATACAGCAGAGTGTCCTCAGTAGTAAAAAAGAACAAGTTCTAGACATACTCGACAGTACTCAAGCCTCTCTGAGCGCAAGGAGCCAGGTTCAAAAGGCTACACTGTGTGGGCACACATCTATGACATTCAGGAAAAGGTAAAGTTATAGGGACAGAGCGCTGATCAGTGGTTGTGGGAGGGAGGATTAACCACAAAGGGATCCAAGGCAATTTGAAGCATGACTCTGTGTCTTCACTGTAATAGCAGTGACTGCCTCTGTCACAACTAGCAGGACTATACGCTGAAAGGGTGGAGCTTGCTGTAGGTAAACTACACCCTAATAAAAACACATTAGCTCCCTACACTGGTGGGTGAGCAGGCTTTCTGGAAGGACACATGGCTGGAAAGTGGCCATGTTGGGAGGCTGGGAAATGGGCTAAGAAGGAGGGAGGAAGAGAGGGTTTTCTCTGTATGTGCTTTGGTTCTGTTTCATCCATGTGTACGTACTTCCTCTTCCTGAACTTAACAAGACATAGTTACAAACAAGCCTGTAACAATGAACCCAGACTTCTGCAAAATTCTAAGTGCATTCACTAAGATACACAAGAAAAATGGCATACCATAGCATACCAAATGCTAGGGGAAAAGGAATGAACACTGGAGATCTGGGGTAAACATGACAGAATGAACTTACATCTGCAAGAGTTCTAGAGACCTCACTACAACAACGACACAAGAGTAACAGAACAACAAAGGTGTGAGGCCACCAAGACAAAATAGGAAAGGAGACTACAAAGATGAGGGAAATGAAACAAAAAGCTTAAAGAAACAGGACAGGTGGGAGTGGAGCAAGCAGAGAAAACAGTTTATGTTAGAAATGACCCAAATCCTTTCACATTTCTCCCTCTGAGAGGCCTAATCCCCCACCCAGCCCAGTGTGGGCTGGACCTAGTAACTTACTTCTCCTGGATAAGGAAGACACGACAGCCTGTGTCTTTAGTAATTAGGTCAAAAAGGTGCTGTGGCCTCCTCCCGGCTCTCTCCTGTAGGGTGGCAAGCTCGGTGGGAAGCCAGATGTCGTGAGGACACCAGGTGCCTGGGAGAAGCCACAGGATTGAGTGCTGAGCATCCCATCCCGCCAACCTCCATGGGAGACACTGATTTTCCAGCCACGGTCGGCCTTCAGATGGCTGAGGCCTTGCTGACATCTTGACTGCACTTTCACAACAGACCGAGTCTCAGAATCTGAGAGATAACCAACGCCTATTGTTTTAAGTGGCTAAGTTTTCAGGCGATTTTTTTTTACTCACCAGCAAAGAGTTTGAGAGAAGCTGACAAGGATCAAATGGGTTTCTTCTAAGCAACCCCAGAAAGGCTCAGAACAAACAGATCAATGGAACAGAATAAAGACCCTTACCTACAGAGAAATTCGATAAATAATGGAGGCGAAAATGTAAACTAGTGGGTCAAGAATTAACTGTTTAGTGATACTGGAACAACTACTATCCATTTGGGAAAAAAATAATTTGGTACTATACTTCACACTATTCATAAAAATAAATTCAAGATGAGGTGTGTCTATACTCAAGAGAAATGAAGACTTATGTCCAAACAAAAACTTTGAAATGAACATTCATAACAGTTTTATTAATGATAGCCAAAAGGAAACCTGACATGGCCAACTGATGAATACATAAAATGTGAGGCTGGGAGTGTGGCTCAGAAGCACAGCATTTGCCTAGCATGCACGAGGCAGGCCCTGGGTTGAATCCCAGCACCACAAAAAAAGAAGAAAAAGATAGATAAAAGATGGCATATCCATATTATATTACCATAAAAACAGATGAACAACTGATACATACTCCATCAAAACCTGGAAAACATTGCCACAGATGACATAAACCCATTTACATGAAATGTCCAGAAAAAGCAAATCCAGAGACGGAAAGTAGCTTAGTGGTTGCCAGTGGGTACAGAAGGAATTAGGGAGAAAGGGGTGACCACTAGGTAAGGGATTTTTTTTTCAAGATGATAAAAAAAGTGCTCTGAAATTGATCGTGGCTCTCTGCAAATATACCAAAAACTGCTGAATTCTGCATTTTAAGTGGGTGAGCTGTAGGGTATGTGAATTGTATCTCAATAACACTGTTCTAAAAGTATAACCCAAGCACTTGGGAGGCTGAGAGAAGTTTGAAGCTAGCCTGGGCTACATAGTGAGACCCTATCCCAAACAAAAAACCAAAACAATCCTCTTGAGCCTGTCACCAATCCTACTTTCTGGTATCCACCTGAAGCATGCACACACATGTCCACAGTCACATACATGTGCCTGACTGCTCACTGTGCAGAAAGCTGGAAATTCCAAAATGCCCCCAGACAAGGCAGTGATAGATAATTGCACAGCAGTGAAAAGAGCCAAGTATGTACCACAGTTAAAAGACCTCCAGAAACACTGTACTGACAACAAGGACAGGGAATTTTAGATAGGGAGGCTAAGAAAGGCCTTGCTGAGGTGTCAGTTGTGTGAAGATTGAGGGGGGAGGGGGATGGTGGTTTTTGGAAGAAAAAGCATTCTAGGCAGAGGGAACAGTAAGTGCAAAGTCCCTGAAGAGGGATTGCACTGAGTAACAACACTAAAGGCAGTCGAGGTGCTAGCAATGTTTCCTGGCACCGGCAATTTCAGGGCTATTGACAGACACTAAGTGCTATGGTCTGACTGTCCAAAAATTCATGTGCTGAAATCCTAACCTGCAGTGCGATGGTATCAGGAGGTGGGGCCTTTGGTATATGTTAGGTTATGACGATGCAGCCCTCACGCTGGGACTAGTGGCCTCTCAGAGGCCCCAGAGAGCTCCCTCAGTCCTTCGTCTCTCATGTGAGGACACAGGAGAAGGTGCTAACATGGCCTGGGAAGCAGACTCACCAGACTCTGATCTTAGACTTCCAACCTGCAAAACCATGAGCAATACATTTCTGCTGTTTTTAAGCCACTCAGTGCCCAGGAGCCAAAACCCCAGGGAGCCCCCAACTTACCCCGTCACTATGCTGTACTACACTGCTGATGTTATTCAGTGACTGAAAGTTCTGCGTGTTTACAGAGCCAAACTCCACAATCTCATCATCCACTTGCAGACCCTAAAGAGAGAAGAGAAAATGAAAAACCAGGCAAAAGGTTAAATACGCCCCTGGTGTTCAAATTATCCTTCAATACCCAGCTTAATGTCAAGGGTCAAGAGCTCATTTCCTACAGGGGAGCATGGGAGGCTCAAAGTCAGGGATTTAATCTATGGCCATACCACACTGAATGCACCCGATCTTGTAAGTCAGGGATTTAGACTCCTCTGTGGGAAGGGACAGTGAGTAATTGACCACCTCCTCCTGGGGGTTCCTCCTAGGGCACAACTCATAAAGCTGTCCAGTTCTGCCCAAAAGCAGTTCTAGAGGCTCAAGGAATATTGGAAAATGCAAACACTGCGCTCTGGGGTTTGATCAGGTCCATTCAAAAACAAGAGGAAGGCCCTGTATACTTGAAGTGGGTAATTTACATCATGTAAATTACATTTCAGTAATGCTGTTAAAAATATATTTTAGAGGTTAAGCATGGTGGTTCACTCCTGTAAACCCAGCACAAGGGGGCAGAGGTGGGGAGGATAATGAGTTCAAGGGCAGCCTGGGCTACACAGTGAGACCCTATCTCAAAGTCCCCCCCAAAAATAAGTTAAAAATAAAAAAAAAAAATTAAATACACCAAGTACAGCTGCCCAGAAAAATACCTGCTCTTGTTCTCATTTTTTTCAGTGCCTAGCTAAATGAGCTCCAAGAAGTAAGCCTCTTTGTCTCTATAGGGACACTTACCACCTTCTACCTTGTATCCTGGTTGTCATGGGAACAGGTCTCTCCCTCAACAGTTTGGTAGGCAGCAAGACTCCTCTCCAAAACCCTGGCCTCTGCACACAGCAGGCCTTGGCCAGTGTTTGTTGAAAGAATTCAGAGCCACAGCATGGAAAGAGTGGATCTGGCCCTACCCCACCTCAAGGATATCTGACCTAACGCACCCCTAGCATGGATTTGGGGGACAGAAGGATTACCGCAATGCTGGCTGGGGAGCCAGGGCTGATACTGTTCACTTTGGCAAAGGCCTGAGGAGGCCTGTGGTTCTCGCTCTGGCCCAGCCTGTGACTCATGGCCTCTTTGTGGGCCTCGGCCATGTCCCGGGCCTGCTTCTCCTTGTCTCGAGCATGTAGCTGGTGCAGGGCCTCCTCCACTTGCTTCATCACCGCCTTGTGATCGTTCTGCAGGCCTAGGAGGAAAACCACCACATCAGGGGCCAGGAAGGACAGCTGTGGACACAAGACACCTGCATTCACTCACTGAATATTTAATGAGCACTTATTACATGCCAGGCACAGGGCCAGAGGTTGAGGGCAAATCTGAGACCAAGACCTCACAAAGGCCTACCCTCACAAAGCCTGCTGTCTCTCAAGGAAAGCAGCTACAAAACAGGTCATTATAACAACAGCTGATGAATTCCATGAGGGCCCAGCCAGTAAGAACCCCTGACTTGCTATCCTAGAACATGAGAGAAGGCTTCCTAAAGACAGCACTGCCTTGGCTGAGACCTGAAAGGTGAGTAGAAACAAGATATGACTGCACCCATGACTGTGACCTCAAATGCAAACAAGGGGCCAGGTAGAAGGTCTTGCAAATGAATGAGGCAGGCTAGGTGTTTAGAAAGATTTCACTCTGCTCTTAAAACTTCTAGAAGGAAAAATGATGTATTAGTCTAGTAATATATGGCTGGGGACACACAGTCTGAGAGAAGTAACTGAGAGTTAGCTAAAGGAACTCCTGCTACCAGCCTCTGGCCAATTGCTGGGGTTGGGAAGCAAAGCCAATGCCTTCAAATCTTTGATTCTTCTTAAAAAACTGGAATTGTGGGTATTGAATGAAATCCTCTGATTTTTCAGTACTGAAAGCTAATTCAAACTATGAACCACCATGCTAGTCTACCAAGCCCCGTCTGCAGGCTACTCCAGCATAGCAGCTTTTATTATTATTAATATTACTTTTTTTTTTTTGCGGTCCTAGGACTTGAACTCAGGGCCTTCACCTTAAGCCTCTCTACCAGCCCTATTTTTTTGTGAAGGGTTTTTTGAGATAGAGAATCTCGAACTATTTGCCTGGGCTGGCTTCGAACCGAGATCCTCCTGAATTCTGCCTCCTCAGTAGCTAGGATTATAGGCATGTGTGCCACCAGCCCTTTTTTTTTGTTTTGTTTTAAAACATCAAAACAACTTCCTCTACTGCTCTAGATTCTACTTCTTTTTTCAAGCTAGGTCACTCACACAAGTCCCCATATGGAGTGTCACAGAAGGCCTTGGCACATCTATCCTCTGTGGCATCCATGGATTGCGGACTTTTGACTTTCCAGGAGCCTTTGACAATGAACTTCTGGGTCACCTGACCTGGTTTCTCCACCTCCGTCACTATGGAGCAAAGGTGAGGCCTGCGTGCATTACAGGACCCAGGTACTCAACCCATAGGAGAAACATGAGGAAAAGAATCTTGAGATGAGTAAGTGGAGATACACAGCCAGTAGAAAGGCCTTAAACAGTGTTAGTTTGTCATATATGGTCACTCTGACTAGAAAAGCCCCCATGTAAGGTTCCTGAGGCTCCCCAGAACCTCTAGCAATGTCTGCATGGTCAGTGCTTAGCATATAGCTGTGGGCAAATGGGTGAATGAGTTCATCTAAAATACATCACAATTCTAAACCAGAATGCAAAGGTTTGCTTTTCCAGGGTAAATATTTCTGTAATAGATTTCAAAAAACAAATGTGAGGTGCACCCTTCAATAGTTCAGCTGGCAGAGTGGAGGACTGTAGACTGCAAAAAACAAATGCGCAGTGGTGTGTGGTAAATACATGCCTGTAATCCAAGCACTTGCAAGGCTGAGGCAAGAGGATCCAGAGTTTGAGGCCTTCCTGAGCTACATAGTGAGACCATGTCTCAAAAACAAAAGCCAAGCCAAAACAAAACTAAAAAAACCCTAATTTGCAGTTGAAACAAACACACCATAGTAATGTAAACTGCTAATCAGAGGAAAGTGGGTACAAAGTATACGGGACTTTTTCTGTATTATTTTTCCAGTTTTATGTAAATCTAAAATTGTTCTAAAAATATTTTTAAAATACAATAAATTTGCAAGAATAGTTTTTCAAAAGAATAAGGAGGAATTGCTCAACCATATTTTTATATGTAGTAATATTAAAACAACATGATATTAGCACCCAAAGAGTAAACAGTGTAAAAAGCCCAGAAATAGGCCAAAGCCCAATCAGAAACTTCATCAGGGGCTCAGGGTGTAGCTCAATGGAAGAGCCTGTGTGTGGTGTTCATGAGACCCCGGGTTCAACCCCAATACCACAGACACAAAAGATCCAAACAGTAGGCAATACTGCTAGCATTTCAAATTACTGGGAAAGAATGGACTATTAAGTAAATGGTGTTGGAGCATCACCTGATCATTTGGATAAAACACAGAAGTCAGTGCCTCCCCGCCTTGTAGCCCAGCACTCACCAGTCCAACTTCCCCCAGGTATCTCCTAATGCAGAAGTGCGTGGACCACGTCCCTGTGGAGTCCAGAGGTTTAGACAAAAGCCCCAAATTTCTCTCAAGCCTGTCCATCCTAATGTGGTTTCCTCCTTCTTTGTGTCTTCCTGGGTTGTTGTTGTTTTACTTTGGTTTGGGTTTTTGTTTTGTTTGTTGTTTGTTTTGTTTTGAGGTACTGAAAATTGAACTCAGAGCCTTACGTATTTTCTTTTTGGGGAACAGGGTCTCACTATGTAGCCTAGGCTGGCCTCAAAATCGAAATCTTCCTGCCTTGGTATAGCAAGGGCTGGAATGACAAGCATGTACCACATGTTATCATTCGCTGGTAAATGGATGGAATTGGAGAACATCATTCTGAGTGAGGTTAGCCTGGCCCAAAAGACAAAAAATCGTATGTTCTCTCTCATATGTGGACATTAGATCAAGGGCAAACACAACAAGGGGATTGGACTTTGAGCACATGATAAAAGCGAGAGCACACAAGGGAGAGGTGAGGATAGGTAAGACACCTAAAAAATTAGCTAGCATTTGTTGCCCTTAAGTCAGAGAAACTAAAGCAGATACCTTAAAAGCAACTGAGGCCAATAGGAAAAGGGGACCAGGAACTAGAGAAAAGGTTAGCTCAAAAAGAATTAACCTAGAAGGTAACACCCACGCACAGGAAATCAATGTGAGTCAATGCCCTGTATAGCTATCCTTATCTCAACTAGCAAAAACCCTTGTTCCTTCCTATTACTGCTTATACTTTCTCTACAACAAAATTAGAAATAAGGGCAAAATAATTTCTGCTGGGTACTGAGGGGGTGGGGGGGAGGGGGAAGGGGCGGAGTGGGTGGTAAGGGAGGGGGTGGGGGCAGGGGGGTGAAATGACCCAAGCTTTGTATGCACATATGAATAATAAAAGAAAAAAAAATCTTTTTTTTTCTTGACAGTACTGGAATTTGAACTCAGGGCCTCATGCTTGCTAGGCAGACATTCTACCACTTGAGTCACTCCACTAGCCCTCCTTGCTTTAGTAGAAAAATGAAATAGTTCTTTTCTCAAAATCTTCATGAGGAAAGGGAAGCTCTGAGGAAGTTTCAACACCTGAAGCTTCAGCCTGCTTTGAGAAGCATGGCCTCATACCCAAACTTGCTGCAGACGAAGTGAGGGTTCTAGCAGATGAAACAGAAGTGAAAATGTGCACATTTCCCTTCTAATAGGACTCTGTGATAGACTGCTGGTTGCTTCCAATGGCAGGGTGAAAGATGCTCACGTCCTCATCCCCAGAGCCTGTGAATGAGTGACCTTACAAAGCTAACAGCACTTCACAGGTGTTATTTGGGACCTTGAAATGAGGATTTTCCAGCAGGACCCGATGTCCTCACAAAGATCTTAATCAGCAAAAGAGGTAAGCAGGAAGGTGAGAGAAAGAGACGTGATGGGGAATGTGAAGTGGGAGAGATGTGATCGCTGGCTTTGAAGATGGAAGATGGCCAAGAGCCAAGAAATACAGATGGTCTCTAGAAGACAGAGAAGTCAAGGAAGTGGGAGGCTCTGTGTAGCCTCCAGAAGGAGCCAGCCCTGACACCTTGGTGTTAGTCCAGTGAACCCCACCTGGACTTCTCACCTCCACAACAGCAAAACAATAAATTTATGTAGTTTAAAGCCAGAAAATCTATGGTCATTTGTCACGACAGAAACAGAAACCTCAAACCCTACCCAACCTCTACTCTTTGCTAATTCTTTAGTTAAAAACAAATATTGGATGTGAGGGCGATCTGGCTGCGACATCTGTCACCCCATTGATCGCCAGGGTTGATTCAGCTGATCTAGCTGGCTAGGCGGGTGTGCTCTTCCTCCCTCACTGTTCCATGTGCGTCCCTCCCCAAGCTGCGAGCTCGGTCAAAGAGGACGACCATCCCCAATAGAGGAGGACCGTTCTTCGGTCAAGGGTATACGAGTAGCTGCACTCCCCTGCTAGACCCTCCAAACAAGCTCTCAAGGTCCATCTGTAGGAGAACGTAGGGTAGTCTAGCTTCCAAGACGCCAGACACATCCAAATGAGGCGCTGCACGTGGCAGTCTGCCTCTCTTTAAAAAAACAAAAACAAAAACAAATACACACAAGGTTTTACTTGGGATAGTAAAGTACCACAGTGGAGTCCTTCCCCAGTTTTTCTGGCAGACACAGGGCCTGTGAGGTGTTCATGATATGAGGACAGGGCGTGGGGCTTGCAGCAAAGATTCTCAAAAAGGGGATGCTTCCTAGCATAGCGACTTTCGTCCTTTCCTACCTTCTTCATTCCTGGAACATGGGCTGGAGACCCTAAGGAGCCCGGGTTTCTGCTCCCAATCCCGCACTACCTACCTCCAAATGTCCCTGACACTGAGAGACACTTACATCTTTTACATTCAAATGAGTGTAGTCAGGTCACTATCTTGAGTGGTTGAAACTACTTCCTAACAAACACGGAAGAGATCTGATGAGGACTATAAGGAGTAGTGGACTTGGGCTTCTGTTGTTAGTTGAATACAGGTCCCACAATGGGAAGGGGGTGATATGATCAAAATACATTTTATACAAGTACGAAAATGTCATAATGAGCCCCATTAAAAAAGTACAGTACAGAACAAAATAGGTTCCACGATGAGACTTTGTTTTAAGAAAAAAAAAAAAAAAAGAAAACATATCTACAGAACCCTAGAGTTTAACCCATCCGCTTAGTTCTCAATCCTTCAAAGAGGACGATGAGATAATCCCATCAAGGCAGGAGAGGCCAGCAGATAATACTGAATGCTGGTGATCCCATTTGTGTGCCTTTAGCATCCCCACCACAGTTGAGGGAAAAGTCCCTCGTCCCACGAGGGCCACTCACAGATAATATTGTGCCTTGCCGTGCGAACCTGGTACAGGTCCACGTCTGCCCGGGGGTAGCCCTCGCAGTCCACCAGCGGCTCATTCATTCCGACTCCTTTTTGCTGAAGAAAAGACATGTGATTAAAAAGATTTCACAGATAGAATGTCCTTGAGATACCATTCCCCAGACTCGCTTCCTTTCAAGTAATAATAAAGGTGACAGTAACAAAACCTGCCCTGTATTGACCACTAAGCACCAACCAGGCACTTTAGCCAGGCCCTCACAACTACCCTCTGAGATGGGCACTATTGTTGAAATTAATTTTTAACAATGCAAGCAAAGCATGAATAGTACTTTTTTTACAACAGTGCACACATAACCAAAGATCCCTTGAGCTGCCAAGATAGACCTCTGCCCTGACTTCTCCAAACCCTCCTTCCCACTACAGCTGACCTGGCTGGGGGTCTTGGTGCTGGAGGGGAAAACCCTGAAGAGCATCAGCGTGGCCAGGTTTTGGTTCTTCAAAAAATATAAAGATCTAAGGTGCTTTCCATCCCTGGAGGGCTACACCTCCAGGCACCGGGTAGCTGGAGGTCAGGGGAGGGAAAGGGTTTGCTTTTGAAATCCTTGTGGCTCAAGTGGTAGAGCACCTGTCTAGCAAGTGTGAGGCCCTGAATTCAAACCCTAGCACCACCAAAATAAATAAACAAATATATAAATTCATTTGATATCCTTTAATGGGTTTTCAATTTTGACCACAGTAATTAATCCCTATTCAAAACAATACATTTGTTTTAACTATTTTGGGTTTTTTTTTTTTTTGAGATTGGGTGTTACTATGTCAAAAACTGGCCTCAAATCCCGGGGCTCACGCAATCTTTCCACCTCAGCTTTCTAAGTCCCTGGGATGAGCAGTGCCACTGTACCTGGCTTGATCGAACACTTTCAAGTCCTTTCTTATGTAAGTAAGCAGCAGTGCACAACAGCACTTGAACATGTTGCATGCTGTGGAGTAGAGGCTTTGCAATTGGTTAGACTTTTTTTTGTTGTTTTTTGGTGGTACTAGGGTTTGAACTCAGGGCGTACACATTGAGCCACTCCACCTGCCCTTTTTCTGTGTTGGGTTTTTTTTAGATAGGGTCTCGTCAACTATTTGCCCAGGCTGACTTTGAACCAGTCTCTGCCTCCTGAATAGCTAGGACTACAGGCGTGAGGCTCCCAGCTGTGATGGGGTTTTTCAAGACAGGGTCTCATGAGCTGTTTGCCTGAGTTGGCTTTCAACCACTATTCTCCTGGTCAGTCAGGATCATAGGCGTGAGCCTATTTGAATCCTATTTGAATCCTAGTTCTGTCATGTACCAGCTGGATGTCTTTGGCTAAGATGGCCCCTCCTCCACCACCAGCCTCAACTTCTCCAGCCGCACAAGGGGAATCCAGCACTTATCTGCCCCAAGAACTGAGTTGGCCCGTGGGGCACTTAGCACAGTGCCAGGCACATAGTGTGACAGCTCCCCTGCTTTAAGTGAGGGTGGGGAGATGGTGGGGGCGACCTAATCAATGTACAATGTAAGCCCATTCAGAACTGTCACAATGAATTCCCCCATATAACAAATATATCCTAATAAAAATGAAAAAAATAGTTGCTCCCAAAAGATATGTCCACATCTGACACCCCAGAAACTGTGAATGTGACTTTATTTGGGAAAAGGGTCTTTGCAGATGTGATTAAATGAAGGATCTTGAAATACGGATCATCCTGGATTCTGGGTAGGCCCTAAATCCAGTGATAGGTGTCCTTATTTTAAAAAATGGCAAAGGGAGACCTGGGACACAAGACAGAAGGCTGTGTGAAAATGGAGACAACCTGAAGTCACATAGCTGTCGGCCCAAGGACTGCAGCCACCACCAGAAGCCAGAGAACAGCACAAAAAGTCTCTCTCAGCGTCTCCACAAGCTGCCAACCCAGCTGACACCTTGACTTTACACTTCTGGCCTTCTGAACCGTGAGAATAAACTTCTTTATTTTAAGCTACCAACTTTATGGAAATGTCAGAGAATGGCCCTAGGAATACTACACACAAAAAAATAAATGGTGACTATAATCATGGGTCAATCAAGACACAAGTGTTGCACAGTGTGCGCAGGCACTGAGGAGAGGATCTGCTTACTTTTCTTGCCTTCTCTCTGGAAACCTCCAGGCTACTCCCAAACCTACTGTTTCCTGTTAGGGGAGAGGGTTCTCCATACACTCTTAACACAGGATGGTATAGATGCTGGAAAATGTGCCAGGAGCTAAATAATTCTGTCTCCTGCCCTCCTGCAAGACTGAGAATCAACACCACATGAGAGACTGCTTCCCAAAGAGGGGGACTCACCTTCACTGGGGCTCACACACAGGGATGGCACTGAATAACCCTGAATCTAAAATACTCCTTTTTTTTTTTTTTTGGTGGGACTGGGGTTTGAACTCAGGGCTTCACGCTTGCAAAGCAGGCACTCTACTGCTTAAGCTACACCTCCATTGTGCTCTGTTTATTTTGGAGATGGGGTCTTGCCAATATCTGTCTGGGCTGACCTTAATCTCAGTCTCCTAAAAACTGGGATTACAGGCGTGAGCCACCAGCGTCCTGCAAAAGTACTCAACTTTCCAATTCTCTTCGGTCTTTTAACAGTCAAGGAGAACATGCCCATTTGGTGCTGGTCTTTACAACACCCCTGGATTACGTGCCATCTCTGAGACTCTCCATTTTAAAAACTGTTTTAGTGAGATATAATTCACATACCATACAACTGATCCATCTAAAGTGTGCATCCAGGTGCCAGTGGCTCACGCCTGTAATCCTAGCTACTCAGGAAGCAGAAATCGGGAGAATCAAGGTTGGAAGCCAACCTGGGCAAATAGTTCTCAGAAATAGTTTCCCTTTGCAAAAAAAATAGGGTTGGTGGAGAGGCTCAAGGTGAGGTCCTGAGTTCAAACCCAAGTACCACAAAAATAAATAAATAAGAATAAAGTGTGCAATTCAATTGTTTTTGGTGGTACTAAGATTTGAACTCAGGGTTTGTACTTGGAAGTGCTCTACCACTTGAGCCACACCACCAGCCCCACCCCACCCTTTTTTTTTTTTTTTTTTTTTTTTTGCTTTTTAGGTTATTTTTGCCCAGGCTAGCCTTGGACTTCGATCCTCTCCCTATGCCTACCCCCCAGCTAGGGTTATAAGCACAGACCACCACAATGACCTAACTGCCATGCCCTAGGCCCCACCTCCAAAAGGTTCTACCACCTCCCACAGCACCAGCCTGGAGACCAAGCCAGGGACCTTCAAGATACAAACAAACAATTCCAGGGGAGGGGGCATTTCATATGAATGAAAACATGCAACATATGAGGTTATTATGACTTTTCAAATTTATCATAAAGTTTTCAAGATTTACTTATGTTGGAGCATGAACTGTTAATTAGAGTATAATCAATACTTCATTCCTATCTACTGCCAGATAATGTCTCATTGTATGTGCCAACTACATTTTATTTATCCATCAGTAGAAGAACGTTTGGGTTGTTTCCAATTCTGGCTATTATAAATAATGTTGCTATAGACATCTGTGTACATGCTTTTGTATGGATGTCTGTGTTTATCTTGGCTATTACATGTAGGAATGGAATCTCAGGGCTAGATGGAAATTCTATGTTCAACCTCTCGAGGAACTGCTAACCTGTCCTCCACGCAGCTGCACCACTTTACATTCCCATCAGTAATGTAGGAAGGTTCTCCACTTCCAACTTCTTCCCTAACACTTGTTATTACCTGTGCTTTTTTTTTTTTTTTTGGCAGTAGTGGGGTTTGAACTCAGGGTTTCACACTTGTTAGGCACACACTCTATCATTTAAGCCACACCTCCAGCCCCTCCCCGTATTTTTTATTATACGCCTCCTGGTGGATGTGAAGTAATATCTCGCTGTGGTTCTGACATGTGTTTCCCTAATGCTAAAACTGTTTGGCATGGTTTCGTACACTTATTTATTGACCATAGACATTGACTGTATGTTCTGTGAAGAAATTTTTTTTGTTAGAACTGGGGCTTTAACTCAGGGCTTCTTGTTTGCAAAACAGGCACCACTACAGTTTGAGCCACACCTCTAGTCCATAGGTTGTCCTTCTATTACTGAACTGTAAATGCTCTTTCTATATTCTAGATACTAGCCTCTTATCAGGTAAGTTATTTGCAAATACTTTCTTCTATTCTGTGGCTTGTCTTTTCACCTTCTTGACTATGTCCTCTGAAACACAAAATTTTAATTTTGACTTCCAATGCATCACTTTTTTCTTTTCCAGATTGTGCTTTAGTGCCATGTCTAAGAAGGCTGGGCTTCACCAAGGTCATGCTTTATCCTAAGAGATTTGTAGTTTTAGTTCACATTTCAAAAAAAAAAACAAAAACAAAGCAGATCAGGCCTTTAGGCTTAAAGCCTTCAGCAAGCAACAGAAGCTAGCTAGAAGCAACACACATACAGTATGACCATTTTTTTGGTGGTACTAGGGCTTTGAACTCAGGGCTTCAAGCCTACTAGGCAGGTGCTCTTTCCACTTGACCATGCCTCCAGCTCCTACAGTATCACCTTAATGGGCATTTTTACCTTATATTTAAGAGAAGAGACTCATTTTCCATAAGCAATAGTTGTAAATTTTCCTTTTAAAATGAAACTCAAATAAGTAAACAAGTGGACCAATATCAAAGGTAGCAGTAAAAGAGAATCGTGATTCTGTTTGCAGTAGAAACGTTAATATTAGTTTGAGAAATCGTTGGCAATCTGCTTGAAAGTACAGGTTCTGGTCTTAACAGCCCTGAGGTCTGAATTCCACTTGGGACTTTGAGCTTCAGGAGCACACAACAACTTCACAAGTGTGATTGTCAGGATTTCATGATACAATGCAAATACAAACCAGCACCCTTTGTGCGTATGGTCAGCACCAGTAAAATGGTACCTGGCCTTCACATGACCCTTCTTCACCTTACTCCCATCACCTGAATGCATTCCACCCCGCCTTATTTGCGTGTAATTAAATTAACGTACTCTTCTTCTGCAAGTTGACTTTTGGTTTTATTCCAGGTGTGGTAAGAAAAATGAATCTGCTTTGGAGTCACAGACCTGGGAACCAGCCCCACCGCTACCACTTCCTTATCTAAGCAAGCATTTGGCCCAGGGTGGGCCTGTTTCCTCCTTTTACAGAAAGGATGAAGAGCGTTACCTGTCACTAAAAATGCGGTCCTTAGACCACCAGCACCGGTAGAGCTGGGAATTGATTAGAAATGGCAGTCTGCTCCGCTCCCCCGCATTCAAAATCTGCCGCTATAACAAGATGCGCAGGTGATTCCTTATATATTGAAGTTTAAGATGCTCTGATATGGTTAGCAAAGCCCAAGACACCGGGTAGAAACTGACTACGGATGATGGAGGTGGTGGATGATTATGGCCCTGCCTCTGCAAACTTAAGGTGATTCACGCCTGTAATCCCCGCACCCGGGAGGATGAGGCAGGAGGATCGCGAGTTCAGCCTGGGCTACATAAAACCCTCCTCCAAAGGTTGCTGCGAGGATTGAGTGAGGAAACCAACGGAAAGCACTTAACGCGGCTCGGTAAGGCTGGCAGAAAACCAAAGCCAGTTAGCAGTGGTGAACACCGCGTCTGCACCGCCGGCTGCCTACAGGCCGCGCTGGCGGCGCCCGGGCCTGGCGGGGAGGGAAACCCGAGGCCCGGCGGCAGGAGGCCGGGCGCCCCCCTGGCCCGAGTCCGCACTCACGCCCTCCAGCACGTCGAAGTTGGCCTTGATTTGCGCCTCGATCTCCTCCTTGCGTCGCATCAGCTCCTGGATGTCGCTGACCGTTGCCGCGCGGGACTCCGAGAAGCTTCCGCCCTGCCGGGCTTCCCTGTCCGACATCGTGGACCACCACCTGGAATCCTGGACTCTCAGTTCCCCGGGTACTAACGCCGGGGGAGACTCTAGCTACGGCTCCGCCCGCAGTCCAAAACACCGCAGTCGTCCCGCAAGCGCGAGGGGTGGGGCCTTAGGACGCGATCGCCGGAAGTCCCGCCCTGCTGGACACGTGGTCTTCCGGTGACCCGGCAGGAATACCAGAGGGAAGCCATGGTTTCTCTCTGCCAGCCTTTTCTACCCTCACCAACACACAGGTTTAGGGGATGAGCTCATCCCAGCTGACTCATTTTTATTTCTCATTCACTCAACATTTATTGAGCACCTTCTGTATGTATGTGCCACAGAACTCTCCTGGCACTCAATTCTTCCCATCTACAAAGCCCTTCAGGATCTACAAAATACATTCAGGTTTCTTATGTTATTTTACACACCCTACAATCCTGGGTTCAAATGTGAACTCCTGCCACTTACTGCAATCTGTGGACTTAAGTAAATTACTTCACCTGAGACTCAGTTTCCTCATCTGTAAAACAGTGTAATGACATTGAATACAATCTATTCCATAAGGCTGTCCTCCCAACAAATATTCATCGAATGCTTCCTATCTCCCATACACTGTCTTAGGTCTGGAGTGGTGAAGGATTGTGAAGCAGTATTAAGACCTTTATAAATTTTGGTAAAAATAGTAATAATGAGAGGTAGAGCACTTATCTAGCATGCACAGGGGCCTGGGTTCCATCCCCAGCACCAGATATAGTTCTAAATACCTTACACATATTAACTCAACAACCTCATAAAGCCAGAAATATTATTACCCCTATTTGACAACTGAGAAAGCTGTCCCAATAACTGACTTGTCCAAGTAGCCAAATGTGCAACTAAAATTCTCCCCAGTTTAACCAAATGATCAAATATCTTAACATGTGTTCCTGATGTTTTCACTAAAGACACCTTGCCTATGTAGTATTCAGACAAGCTTTTCCTGGATCTAATAATGGGAAAACAGACAAGAAAACTGAAATCCGATGCCAGTGGCTCATGTCTGTAATACTAGCTACTCAGGACACAGAGATCAGGAAGATCATGATTCAGAGCCAGTCCCAGGAAATAGTTGGTGAGATCCTATCTCAAAAAAAAAAAAAAAAAATCACAAAAAAGGGCTGGTGGAGTGGCTCAAGGTGTAGGCCCTGAGTTCAAACCCCAGTACCACAAAAAAAAAAAAAATTAAAAAAATAAAAAGAAAATTGAGGGAGAGTCTTCAAAACAACTGGCCTAAAGTCAAAAGGTCAATGTTGTGAAATAAGCACACACACACACACAAGCACACACACATATACAGAGATGCAAAAATGGCATGCAATGGGATCCTGGTCTCCCCCCCCTTCAAAAACAAAACAGTTGCACAAGATAGTCTTGGGACATTTGGAGAAATTTGAATATGGATGGTATAGTATCAATATTCAAATTTCCATATTTCAATATTTGCACTGTGGTTATATAACACAATGTCCTTAAGAAACATACCCTGTCATATTTAGGGACAAGAGAGGTTACTTATTCTCAAATGGCTCAGAAAAAATGCAAACATGTATTTTCATAGAGAGATGACTCTGGATTATTTGAGGGACCCAACATAATCATGTAAGTCCCTGAAAATGGAGAATAAGAATATAAGGATGGGTCAGAGAGATGCAACCTGGGATTGACTTGTTTTTGCTAATTTTGTAGGTGAAGGAAGGGAGGCTGCATGCCAAGCAATGAAGCCGTCTCTGGGAGCCTGGATCAACCCTGACTGAAACCCAAAAATAAAATGGAAACTTTTATCCTTCAAAAGCTATAAACTGAATTCATCCAGCACAGAAATCAAAAGCAGCAGCATTGAAAGATGTCATTGAACCAGCTTGTGAGATCTGAATATGACTTTTATGTCAAATTATAGTACACTGATGTTACATTGCCTCAGGAAGATAATGTTATTGTAATTCCGTAAGAGGAATATCCTGAGTCAAAGTCAATAACTGCCACAGTATTCAGAGGTAGAGAGTTTTGACTTCTGCAGCTAACTTGCTATGGCTCAGAATAAAAATGGAAAAGGAAAAAATACAGGACAGAGGGAAAAAGCAAATGTAACTATTTGTAAGTCTAAGTGAAAAGCATATTATGAAAACTATCTTGCAAGTGAGTACACACCTATAATCCCAGCTACACCAGAGAAGTAGATTGGAGGGCAGGTAGGAGGATCTCCATCTGAGGCCAGCCTCAGCCCAAAACAAGAGACCCTATCAGAAAAATGACTAAAACAAAAAAGGCATATGAATAAATAAAAAATAAAATAAATAAGTAGGTGTGCATCAAGTGGTAGAGCACCTGCCTAGCAAGTGTAAGGCCCTGAGTTCAAACTCCAGTACTGCCAGGAAAAGAAAAACAGAAAGAAAAGAAAAGGAGCTGTCTTGCAACTCTTCTGAAGTTCGAAATGACTTTTGGGCAGGGAGAATATTCCCACCTGAGTCACTGAAGCCATTGCTATTGTCAAAATGGTTGTGGTTATTGTAGGAAACCTAGATGCTATCCTTTCTACTGCCTCCATGGCTCTCAAATCCATCAGTGTCTCCATCTCTTGTCCCTGCACCCCATCTCTCCCTGACTGCAGCAGCCTATGAGCTGGCCTCCATTAATCCAATCTCCACAGCAGCCAAAATATCCTTTCCAAAGAGCACCATTTGTCATTCTGCTGCTGAAAGCTTTCAGTGGCTTTCCAGTACCCTTCACTTGGCCTTTAAGACCCATCTGATCTCTGCTTGCTTTTAGCCTCCCAGCCCCACACCCTCCACCCACAACACACCCACAGACAGTACGTACGTTCCAGCCACACTGAACTTCTAGCAGTTTCTGGCACACTGATTGCACACTCACTCTTAGCACTGGGCCAAGTGCCTGCTCCTCCCTTCCCAAGAACACCATTCTCAGGCCAGGCTGATCCAGCTCTTCCTCCACCATCCAGCTCAAACATTACCTCCCCTGGAAGTCACATTCTGACCTGCCCCAAAGCTGGGCAGTTTTCTGCACTTTCCACTTGGGATTGTACATGCATGTTTACCTGTTTGTCTCAGGCAAGGGGACTCTCAGAGGATGTGGACTGACGCTTGTTTATCTTCAAATGTTTGACCCTTTACAGGGGTGCAAAAAACAATCTTTGCTCCTTCACTTTCCAGTTGTTTTGGGTTGATCCATCTATAGTGGCCACAAAGAGCCCAACAAAACCTGTTTTAGGAAGCTGTCAGGATTCAGGACAGCCTGAATTGTATGCCTCTTCTAGACATCCATGTCTTGATCATTTTCACTCCAGAAAAAGAGGGAAGCCAGGAGACAGAGAATTGGGACCTAGAGTCAACCTAGTAAGACCTAGCAGGTCATAATTTGTACCACCTGACTTAAGAACTTGCTGAAATTTCTATATTTCACCTCACCCTTGGACTAGAAGTTGGGAAAACTGGAAAGCTCTCTTCTTCTTCCCTGAGTTCCTTCACTTACAAAACTTGGGTTGGACTCCAAAGGCCAAAAAGGTTGCAGGCTTGTGTGAGTTGGCTCACAAAGGGATTTTAAGAAATTTAAGTTTAAGCTGGGTGCTGGTGGCTCACGCCTGTAATCCTAGTTACTCAGGAGTCAGAGATCAGGAGGATCACAATTTGAAGCCAACCTCAGACAAACAGTTCAGGAGACCTTATCTCAAAAAAAAAAAATCACAAAAAAGGGCTGGTGGAGTGGCTCAAGGTGTAGGCCCTGAGTTCAAACCCCAACACCACACACACACAAAAAAAATTTAAGTTTATTGTTGAAACAGGGCAGGGTCCCATCACTAAATAGCTGACACAAAGAGAAGGATGTGTGAGGGGCTTTTACAAAGTCATGGGCAACACTAATAAGAGAGGATGAAGCCTCCTGTGGCTGGCAAGCTTGGAACCCCATTACCACCCATACCAAAAGGGGTAAGGGAAGTAGTACGGTTTAAATGTCCCCACTAAAATCAATGCTCGAATTTAAACCTAACTGTGAGGTATAAGAGGTGGGATGAGGTGGGACATTTAAGAGGAAATCAAGTCACAAGGGCTCTGCCCTTGTGAACGGATGGTCTATTCATGGACTGATGGGTTATTTTAGCAGTGGGTCTGTAGGCTGGCGGAGTGGTGCAACTGGTAGAGCACCTGACAAGCAAGCATGAGAACCTAAGTTCAGGCCCCAGTGCCAGAAAAAAAAAAAGAGTTGGTGACAAAACCCAGTTTGGCTCTAATTCTTGCATGCACCCCTCTCAGAATTTCATGCTCTGAGCTGTCTCAGGATTGCAGAAAGTCCCTACCAGCAAGAAGGCCTTTACCAGATGGATCCCCTCCATCTTGGACCTCCTAGCCTCCCAAACAGTGAACTGAATAAACCTATATTCTTTATAAATGATCTAATCTCAGGTATTTTGTCATATCAACAGAAAGTAGACTAATACAGGAAGGCAGGAGTTTCAGAATCTAAAGGGAGCTATGGCCACCCCACAGGAACGTGGCCTTTACTAGAGGGACACAGCCACTGCTAAAATAACATCTGGCAGAGAGGAAACCAAGGAATAAATACCCCCACCTCTCTTTTCTCTCATCTGCTGGAGCCGCTGGTAGCTGAAAGCAACGAGGCTTGGGTCACACAGCAGGGCAGAGAGGGAGGGAACTTGGAGGGGCAAATGGAATATTCAGCACAGCTGCCAATATTTAAATATTCGAAAAAATAAAACACAGAGAACTACATAATAACCAACCCTATTCCTATATAGCAAAAACAGCTCTCCCATATATATGAATGCTTGAAATAACTCCACTAGAATGGAGAATGGTAGGTGGTTATGAATAAGAGTATGTTAATATTTAGTTCCTGGGCAGGGACAGAGTAATTTTTAAAAATAGGGTATTTATTAACATGAGTGGAGAATTTTTTTAATTGAGGTTACTAGTTTCATTTTTTTAATTGAGATTACTAGTTTTAATTTATTTATTTTGGTGGTTCTGGAGTTTGAACTCCACCAGCCCATGAGTGGAGAATAATGAAAATAAGTGGGCTGGGAGTGTAGTTC